CTATTCACAAGTAGTTCCCATCCTCTTTCTTGCCTTCTCCTCCCACTCCTCTGTCGCATTTCCCCTCAATACGTCATAAACAGCTAAAACATATCGTACGCTGCTCACCGTGGTCTTCCTCTTTTCCCGCGTTCTTGGTTTCTTGGATAATCAGGTTTCATCTTCGGCGAAGTTGATTTCGTTTTCGGCGCAGCCAGAGCAGTCTTCGACTCATCCACTTTCTACATGGATTCCATGGGCTATGCCGGTGAGTCTTCGTGAGCTTTTCGCGCACAAATTATCCACCTCTTCGCCGCGTACACTATAACATCGGTTACCACTTTCGTCGCTGTTCGCTGTTCGCTTGCAGCCGTTACCGCGAACTACCGCATGTCGAAGGCCGAGGACTCGTGCTTCGTGATCATGAACTCGCACATCACCGGCCGCAACCAGGGCTGGCTCGGTCGCTCCTGGGGCAAATACGCCTGCACCGTTGTCGCCAACACCTATATGGACAAGGCCGTTCGCCCTGACGGTAAGCGCGCTGCGAAGGAACAAGGATACACCTGCTGCCACAACCCTCCGTCACCAATACATTCGCACATGCCACGGCACCTATCCTGTCCTTTTCAGTGGCGATTCTTTGACCTGTCCGCACTCTGCATTTTCCCACCCTAGGTCTCATTGTTTTCCTTCGCCTCCGTCTTGTGTACAGGATGGAACGATTTCGGCGTCGTTGCGCGGCAAGTGAATTCGTTCTTTGCCGAGTACAACAACCGCGGCATCGGCGCGAACCTGGACGGCCGCGTGTGGTGGCAGAAAGTCATGGAACCCGCTCAAGTAAAAAAGTACGTCACTACAGAGTACATCGGACTGAGCAAGTGGATCCGCGCTCTGCCTATCGCCCCCAAGAAGAACGGAGGCGGCGGGGGCGGCAAGAAGAACGGAAGCGGCGGAAGCAGCAAGAAGAGCGGAGGCAAGACGGCGCAGCAGAGCGCCCCTGTGAAGAAGCCGCAGCTGCCTGCGAACAAGAAGCCGCAACAGCCGGTGAAGAAGCCGCAGCAGCCCGTGAGGAAGCCGCAGCAGCAGCAGCCTGGAAAGAAGCAGCCGCAGCCTGCGCAGAAGAAGCCTCAAACCAAGGCGACGACTCAGGAAGTTATCACCGAAGGCCAGCTCGCGGCTGCTGCTGACGTGGCTCCTGCTCTTGTTGCTGCCGCTGGTGCCACGCCTGTGCAGGAGCAACAGCAGCCAGCCGTTGTGGTTCAGCCGTACAGCGTGTGTCAGACGATGCAGCCGGACCTTGCTACCCGCGATAGACTCTGTACGCGTTGCTGTCAGATCCGTGTCCCGGTACCAGAGCAACGCGCCTGCATGGACGCTTGCATCGGGATTTGAATAGCAGGAAGTTGTTGCTAACCGGATAGGCTGCGCTCGGCTGGTTGGTTCTCGTCATTCTGCGTCGAGCCGTTAGCGTACTCAGTTCAAAAAGAGTGTTACATCAGATGCTGCTGACATATTATGATGGGTTGGGGAGGGCCGTGGTTTAGCTGAAAGTATGTGCTGTTAGTGGTTCTTGGTTGGGCTGGCGCTGGGACGGGAAATCGAGTGGTGAGGTGCAGCATCGCAGCAGGGCGTTTTGACAAATTTAGATAGCTTGAAAGGTGTTCTTATACAGCCCTGGCAATAATTGGCATGTAACCTAATGTCTATCTCCTGAAATTTATACCCTGAAATCTCACTAGCCTGAGAATACAGACTTGCAAATGTGGAATGATCGGTGGCTAGGTGTACATTTTATCAACAGGACTAGGCAAGAATGATGCATTGAATGAAACAGTTGGGTACAAGTAGCAAACCCTAGTTGGTGTTGTACCCCATATTGGCTACCCCACTACAGCCTACCAACATATAACACATTACAATTTAACACACCCCCATAGGCAAAGTGGGGGAGAACAAAGGGTCACAAGACCAGTCCAGCAAAGCAACGCAAACCCAGGGTGGATCACAACGTCACCACACTCCGAGCACAAGCAAAGGCCACAAGGCCAGTTCACATGCAGTGCTAGATATAGTACAAGACAAGCAACACAGTGATCAAAACCTAGCAAGCAAGCAACAAGATATATATAAAGTACAGTACAAAGAAAGTCAAGCAGTAAGCAAATGAGGGAATGTGGACACAAGGCCTAAAGAAGTACAGTGTCGCTGATGATCACTAGGCGGGAGCGCCTTGGTGAAGATATCAGCAGTATTGGCCTTCGAGTCCACGTACACAAGCCGAAGCTGACCGCGCTGCTGAAGCTCTCGAGCAAGAAAGTAGCGAAGAGCAATGTGCTTCGTCCTGTGCTCCAGTCTGTGCTCCTGACACAAGGCAAGAGCCGCCTTGTTGTCACCGTACAGAACTGGAGGAGAACTAGGCCGCTCTCCCAAGTCAGTCAGCAGGTAGGTGAGCCAGCGTAACTCCTGTGCAGCCATGGCCGTGGCGTAGATCTCAGCCTCACAACTAGAGCCGAGAACAGAAGAAGAGCGGGTGGACCGCCACGAGACAGAACCAGAGCCAAGGCTGAAGGTGTAACCCTGTCACGACCGCTGCGTAGCCAGGTCGTCCACCCAAGAAGCGTCCGAGTGACCAGTGAGGACAACTCTGTCGCGTCCTCCAAGCACCAGCCCCATGCCTGATGTACTGCACAAGTAACGCAGCACCCTCTTAGCAGCCTCCCAGTGCTCTCGCCTGTGTCTCCCAGGTGCAACGTAACGAGCAAGGATGCTAAGAGGGTACGCGAGGTCAGGTCGCGTGCAAGTCATCAGGTACATGAGGCAGCCTACAAGCTCTGGGTACGGGCCACTCGGCTCTACGGACTCGTCCGAAGGTGGAGCTGAGAGCGAGTGGCTGGTAGCCAGAGGTGTGGCCTGTGGTGAGGAGAACTGGAAGCCGAAGCGCTGAAGGATCTGCTGCACCATGTGTGACTGAGTCAGGGTGATGGTGCGGCGAGCTCTGTCCCGGGTGATCTGCAAGCCAAGGTAGCTACGCAGCTCACCCAGGTCAGTGCAGGTGTGTCTCTTCTGCAGCTCCGACTTCACACGAGCGAGTGCCTCAGTGTCAGCAGTAGCAAAGACCAAGTCGTCGACGTACACGAGAATGTAGAACGGCGGCAGCGACGTGTCTGTGCGCAGAAACAGCGACGGGTCAGCAGTAGACGGCGCGAACCCAAGAGCCGCAAGTGTAGTCCTCAGTGTGTCGTGCCACTCACGTGGCGCCTGGCGGAGACCGTAGACTGGCCGGCGGAGGCTCCACTGGGTACCAGGAGGAAACGACCCAGTAAAGCCAGGTGGGCGGCGCAGCCAGATCTCCTCGTGCAGGCTGCCCTGCAGGAACGCTGTGCTGAAGTCAAGAGAGTGAAGCTCGTAGTCACGCTGAGCAGCAACGTGCAGCAGAACCCGAAGAGTGGTCATCTTCGGGGTGGGGGAGAAGGTCTGGAAGAAGTCGACCCCCTGACGCTGACTGAAGCCTCTAGCAACGTAACGAGCCTTGAAGACAGGCGGAGAACCTGGCGGCCGCTTCACCCTGAAAATCCACATGCCATCGACGATGTTCGCCCCAGGAGGGGGAACCTCGTCGACGTAGGTGCCTGTGGACTTCCAGGATGCCATCTCTGCGTCCATGGCTGTCTGCCACTGAGAGGAGTAGGGACCCGAGATCGCCTCTGCGTAAGTGCGCGGAGTGGGGATGTCTAGTGCATCCGGGTCTCCCTCAGGGGCAAGCAACCAGGCCACGAGATGAGGTACAGCAGTCGCGAGAGAGTCGAAGTCCTCCTGCCTGTCCTCAAGGACGTCCGTGCCAAGAGCACGCTCACCCCCGACGGACGGAGGACAGACAGACTCAGACCCAGCAACAAGACTGGCGGCGTAGTCGAGGCGACAGGCAGCAGCAAAGTCGACAAGCTCAGCGACCAGGGCAGACGCAGCAGAAGACTCAAACGACGGGTCAGTGACAACAGTGGCGAGAAGACGCGTGACAGTAGGGTGGGCAGCACGAACACTGTCAGACTCAGGGTCGGGAACGTCAGGAAGAGAAGACGCAGGAGGAGACGGTAGGGGGACACGCTGTGGACCAGTGGAAGGACGAAGTGCCATAATGTGCGTGCCAGGAACAGGAGGAGGACGCGGACGCGCGACACGACGGCTAGTGGGACCAGTGCGAGCAGTGCGAGCAGCGCGAACAGGCGAGGCAGGACGAGACGCAGGCTCACGACGCTCCGTAAGCGAGTCCGGCTGTGCAGTATAAGGCACAGGAGCAGGGAGGGGGGAGCCAGGCTGAAGGGGAAGGCCAGTGGAAGACGGGAGGGAAAGAACCTGGCGAAGCACCGTGTCAGGCGGCGGCAAAGCCGACGGCGACGGAGGAGCGAAGAACAGGCGCGACGGCGGAGCTCCGCCAGCACCTCCAGCACCCGGAGCACCAGAAGCACCTGGACCAGCACCCTCCGCCGCAGCACCCCCCGAGTCGGCGACGTCAGCACCAGAGGCCCCAGCAGCGTCAGACCTCCCCTCGCCAGCACCTCCAGAACCAGCAGGACCACCGTGTCCAGAACCGTCAGCTCCAGCGTCGTCAGCTCCAGCAGCTCCAGTACCGCCAGGAAGAGCACCCCCAGACGCAGCAACCCCAGGCTCCGTAGGCTCAGCAGCAGCACCCCCAGGCTCAGTACCCTCAGGCGCAGTACCCCCAGGCTCAGCACCCCCAGACTCCGTACACGCAGGCTCAGCACCCCCAGTCGTAGCACCCCCAGGCTCAGCACCCCCAGGCGCCGAACTCCCAGGCACAGTACCCTCAGCTCCAGCACCCGCAGTCCCAGCACTCCCAGGCCCAGCACCCGCAGGCTCAGCACCCCCAGGCTCAGCACTCCCAGCAGCACCACCTGCAGCAGCACCTGAGTCACCTGTGACCTCGACAGGCTCAGCGACGGGAGGAGGGTCTACCTGAGAGACACCTGAAGGAGCAGGACCCTGAGGGGGAAGGGGGTCTACCGGAGGGGGACCAGGAGCAAGGAAAAGCGGCGGGGGAGGGAGGGGGGCAGTGCGGTAGGGGAAGAGACGGTAAAAAGGGACCGACTCGTCAAAGGTGACGTCCTGAGAGGCGAAGACCCGGCGCGAGGTGGGGTGGTAAAACTGCCAGCCCGGCGCGTCAGGGACAAAGCCAAGGAAGACACAGGGAAGCGTGCGGGAGGAGAGCTTGTCCGCGGACGTATCGCGGACAAGGGCACGAGCACCCCACACCCGGAAGCGCGACGCATCGCCAACCTCCCCCGTCCAACGCAGTGTGGGCGAGGTCTCCGGCAAGGAGACACGGGGCCAGAGGTTGAGCTGATGCGCGGCGTACCGGACAGCAAACGGCCACAGAAAATGGGGAGCCGCCGCGTGGACCAAGGAGGTACGAGCGACCTCCATGACCAGGCCAATGCGGCGCTCAGCAACCCCATTCTGCTGTGGGGAGTCCGGAAGCGTGAAGGTCTGCTCGATGCCCTCCGCCTGACAGAAGGTCCTCAAGAGATCGGAGGAAAACTCACCACCTCTGTCAGAGTGCAGACGCAGGACAGGAAGATCCGTCCGGAAACGGCGGCGGAGCTGGAGACGAACTGTGCGGATCCAAGGGATCAGAACAGCAGGGACCTCACCCTTGGTGCGCAAGGGGAAGACCGTGGTGTAACGCGAGTAGTCGTCGACAACCAGCAAAAAGTACCGCTCACCGCCCTGGCCACGAACGCGGGCTGGGCCCCACACGTCCAGGTGGAGGGTCTGCAGAGGAGCCTCTGTCGGGGGGAACGAGGAGGAGTGAGGAGCGGCGCGCTGCCGCCCCTCGACGCAAGGAAGGCAAGGCGGCGCAGGCGAGGCAGGGAGGGGAGGGAGGGACCTGGGAAGACCAGACACAAGGCGGCGACGGTGCATGCCACGGAGGCGTGGCAAGGAGGGGTGACCCAGGCGGTGGTGCCAGAGAAGAGTCTGGTGCGACAGGGAACGACACTCACAGGCGTGGGCCACCAGACCTGACGCGGACACCTGACCGACAGCAGCGACCTGAGGAGACGCAGTGGTCAGTGTGTAGAGACTCGACCCCGGCCGACGGGTAAACGTAGCCAGGTGACGGCCGGTCCTGGAGCACGTGCAGATCGCCACACGCTGTCCTCCAGGGGTAAAGGTGTCAACCCACTGATCCTGGATGACAGCGTTGCTCACCAGGTTCGTCGAGAACGAGGGGAGGTGGAAACCCGACAACGAGCCAGACGGAACCGCCGGACAAGGGAGCACAGTGGTGGACTGGGCAAGGACTGGGCCCCCAGAGGGGTCAGCCAAGGAGACTGGGACCGGTGCAGGAAGCGGTGTGAGCTCAGTACTGTCACGAAAGAAACAGCGGGAAGCACCTGAGTCAAGGGTGAAGGTGTGACAGGCCTCAGCCGGTGCGGTACCTGAGAGAGCAGTCTCTGTGGGTGCTGTACCTGAGAGAGCAGACTCGCAAACAGCCGGGACAGCACTGGAGGGAGCAAGTACAGGGGGCACCATACCAGAGAGAGCAGACTCACTAGTACCCAGGGCAGCGGGCTCTATACCTGGGTCAGGCGGCACACACAAGTAACAGTCTCCCTCGGCACTAACAGTCAATGCATACATGGCAGCAATAATAGCATCATAGTCAAGAGCAAAGATATCAACACCAGCCCTCATGAGCTCAGCCCAGCGGGGGCGCTCAACCTCCTCGCCCATCTCCTCACGCCAAGCGTCGTCAAGGCGGGAGAAGCAGCGGTACGGGGTGTGGAACCTCCCACACGTCTGTCCCTTGCGGTCACCTGTGCGAATGACATAGGAACAGCGGCCACTGCCCCCCGACGTCCCACGCTGAGCAAGCCACTCACGAAGGGAAGGGATGCTGTCGAGGGTTTGAAATGCGGTACAGGAATTTTTTTCTCATGTTCAATAACGATTGAACAAGACTTCAGAGGATTCAAGAACGGTACCAACAAACATGGGCTCAGATATATGGATATAAATTGAATTGGTGGGGCTGGTTGGACCTGCCCTTTGACACCGCCCCCGCTCAAAAGTTAGTGAAAGAACAGTTCGAACTGTACCGAAGCACTAGTCTTTTGAAGCGACACCAAACAGCGGATACATTTTTAGCCAGGACCGAGTCGAGCCCCGGGCAGCAGGGAAAGAAGCCAAGCCGACACAACCAAGTACAGGTACAGTCCGTGTATTGTCGGTTTTTGTCCCACCATTTTTGGTAGCGTCCCCCGCTCACCAACAAAAGAAGCCGCGGATTGGGTTCGTTGTCATGGCTGGAGATACGACGAAGCCTGTACATAATGCAATGAGAATACAAATCCACACTCACCTTTGAATAATGAGGGCACGTCCGAGAGAGAGCAAGTGCCAGGATATTCCAGTTTCTTGAGGAACGAAATGAGATGAAACTAGGGCACCGAAAACACACAAACCTCATGCTTTAGCAGAGTGTTGGGGTTGTCTGGGGACGCTGCTGCTGCTGGGAGCTCTGGCCCGAGCCAGTGCCTCCACTCCGACCTCCGCCGCCACCACTACCACCGCTCCGACCGCCACCGCCACCACCGCCACCACCGCCACCGCCGCCACCGCCGCCGCCGCCACTACTGCCACTGCTTCCTCCGCCGCCCCCGCCTCCACCGCCGACCCCACTCCCACCAGCGCTCCCGCCACCGCTCCCTCCAGCACCGCCTCCCCCCCCACCTCCCCCACCTCCTCCCCCCCCAGCGCCACCCCCGCCACCCTTGCCCCCCTTGCCCTTGCCGGTGCGGCGCCTCCCACCAGGAGCAGAAGCAGCGCCAGCAGACTCAGCACCAAGGAAGTCAACAGCAGCAGCAGTAGCGTAGGAGGGAGCGAGGGGAGAGGGAGAACACCCCTCAAAGATGGGGGTGCGAGGAGCGCCACGAGCAGCACCGACAGCTACAATGCTCTTTTCGGCCGCTAGCAGCTGCTCCTCTAGGAGGGCGACTGTGAGCTCAGTGGGACAGCGAGCAAGGAAGTGGTCTCGAACTGAGCTGAGGGTGTCAGGGAGACGGGTGACTATGAAGTGGAGTGTCCAGTACAGTGGAGGGGGATTCTTAGAGCAGAACTCGGTGGGAAGGGCGGCACGCAGGCGAGCATCACTAGTGCGAAGGTGGGTGATAAGATCGGCGACTGTAGCAAAGGTGGACAGCTCAGGGAACAGGTACGGCAGCATGAGGCGGCTAAGCTCGGCTGTGGCAGGCGAGGAGTAGCGAGCAACGACAGCATCGTACAGGGCCTTAGCGGATTTGCAGTCGCCAAAATGCTCGAGCTCAGCTAGCGGCAGGTGACTGCGAATGGCTAGGCGAGCAGCTGCGTCACGAGTCTGCCAGTGGGAACGAACACTAAGCTCAGCTGTGGCAGGAGGGGCAGGTGCAGCACCAGACGCGTAATCATAGAGCGACACATGCTCCTTGCTATCGCTCAGAAGGAACAGCTGCAGGTCATCCAGCCAAGTGGCGAACTTCACAGGGCGGCCCTCAGCATCGAACGACAGCACGCGGATGGAAGCCATAGCGACAGTGCGACTGAGCAAAGGAAGCTGCCGCAGCGCTGCAGGTAGGTAGCTCGGCGGGAAGCGCGGCGGGCGGGCGACGCGGCGAGCGGGCAGTGCGGGGGGCGGGCTACGAAGCGGGCAGCGCGGTGGGCAGGCGGCGCTGCAGGCGGGAAGTGCGGCGGGCGGGCTGCGAAGCGGGCAGCGGGGCGGGCGGGCGACGCGGCGAGCGGGCAGCGGGCGGGCGGGCGACGCTGCGAGCGGGCAGTGCAGCGGGCGGGCTGCGAAGCGGGCAGCGGGCGGGCGGGCGACGCTGCAAGCGGGCAGCGAGGCGGGCGGGCGACGCTGCGAGCGGGCAGCGCGGCGGGCGGGCGACGCTGCGAAGCGGGCAGCGGGCGGGCGGGCGACGCTGCAAGCGGGCAGCGAGGCGGGCGGGCGACGCTGCGAGCGGGCAGCGTGGCGGGCGGGCGACGCTGCGAAGCGGGCAGCGGGCGGGCGGGCGACGCTGCAAGCGGGCAGCGAGGCGGGCGGGCGACGCTGCGAGCGGGCAGCGCGGCGGGCGGGCTGCGAAACGGGCAGCGCGGTAGGCGGGCGACGCTGCGAGCGGGCGGCTCGGCGGGCGGGCGACGCTGCGAGGGGCGCGCGAGGGCGCTAACGAGAGGCGCACGAGGGCGCTAACAAGGGCGCGCGAGGGCGCTAGCGAGGGCGCGCGAGGGCGCTAACGAGAGGCGCGCGAGGGCGCTAACGAGGGCGCACGAGGGCGCTAACGAGGGGCGCGCGAGGGCGCTAACGAGGGCGCGGGGTAGCGTGGTAACCGCATGCGAGCGGTGGTGGGCCCTAAAAAAAACGGTCGGTAGGTCCTAGGGACCTCCTGCTCTGATACCATATCAACAGGACTAGGCAAGAATGATGCATTGAATGAAACAGTTGGGTACAAGTAGCAAACCCTAGTTGGTGTTGTACCCCATATTGGCTACCCCACTACAGCCTACCAACATATAACACATTACAATTTAACACATTTACTTTACTGTACGTATGAACAAGTTGCGGAGAGCCAGCTTTGATGAAATGGCAAGGAGAGAATTGCTCCAAACCCATGTTTGGAGATTCAGCGTTGCACACGTGGCCTTAATTTGCTCGCGTGATCCTACAATTGCACGATAATTGCTCGAGTGTCCTTGCCAGAGGATTTCCGGAGCATTTGTTTACCCGATACATTACCCGAGAAGGATTTTTAGCCCTGAAAAAAAACTAAAACCCATCGCGAACGGCATGCCATTCGGGAGCATCAACCCTAAAATTTTAGGGTTGATGCTTCCCAAATGGCATGCCTTCCAAATGGGTTTTAGTTTTTTTTTTCCCTTGTTCAGAATTCCTCGGGAAGAGACACGCTCGATGTAGGAATTTCGAGGCTAGAATCCCTTTCCGGGTAATGAGCCGGGTGAAAAAAATGCTGGAGGAAACCTCTGGCAAGACCACTCGAGCAATTAGGGCGTGGGCCCAAACGGGTTTGATCGTGGCTGATTTGATCGGGTCGGATCTGAGCGGGTTCCTTGTGATCGTAGTGCTCGAGCCGCCCGATCAGAGATGATTTTCGGAGAAGATTGTCAGCGCCTGCTCAGTAAGCGCGATACATTTGCGTGGCATTTTCAACACCATTCTAGCGATATTGACGACCAGGCTTAACCTGGCGAAACTCGTCGTTTCACTGTATGTGCAACAGTGTAACTCTTCGCAAGCCTCGCTGGGTGTCCCGATCACAAGCAATCAATTGATTGCCTGTGATCGAGGAAAATCGACTCTGATCGGGGTGAAATCGGGTCTGATTGAGTTGGGGCGATCAGTTGATCGCGATCAGCTGATTGCCCCTGATTGCCTGAAATTGGCTTCCAGGCTTCCAGGAAATTATTGATCGCGGCTGATCGAGGCGATCAAACCCGTTTGGGCCAACGCCCTTATCATTGAATTGTATGACCACGCGAGCAATTCGAGGCCACGTGGGCAACGGCGAATCACCAAACCCGGGTCTGGAGTAATTCTTTCAATGGCAAGAGATGCAATTCACATGGTTCATGTTCGCTGGGGAGACGGCTTTGATCTCAGCCACTAGTAGAACTCCTGGTGGAGAATCGCCTCGGTAGTGGTTGTTACACTACAGTACAATATTGTACAGTACACGAGGGAGTCGGCACTTTGGAGGAGCGTGCGTGTGGGTGCTATGCCATCAAAATTTACAGGATGGAGCTGTACAGAATCTGCTGGTACATGTACACGAGCACGAATCTGTACAGTAGTGGGTCTGCACCGAATTCCTCAGTACACAAGAAGTAGTTGTTGGTTGGCCAATCGGATCAACTGCTCAACGGCGTTTTCCAATTTCAAGTTTCAGAAAGGTGTGGTTGGCATGGCAAGTGACCATCCACCTCTCCACAAAAACGGTCAAAAAAATGGGGGTTAATAGCCTTCACAGTAAGCGCGTGATACTTCGCCCACTGGTTTGGAATGTACAGACGATGCTCACCATCCCGTGTCATTTGACCGTCCCATTCTAAAATCTCTAGATGTCCATTTTGTCCCGTTAACGCATGTGGTGTAGACTACGTTATGTCAGCTGTAACTCGAATGACATAATCTGTAAAAGAAAAGCATCATGGAAATATAAAAAAAAAAAACCAAAAAAACAAAAGAAGAACCCTCCTATTGTCGTTTTCTTATGGGAAACAAACAAGGAACTTCCAACAGAATAACTTGGAAACTTGTTCAGTCTATCCTACCTGTAAGCCCTCCCTGAATGCTGTCCGCTTTGCCAATCAATTGTTTGCCATATCGCTCTAATGCACATGTTTAGTCTAGTAAACTGTTCCATTCGCAATCCTCACCATTTCTTACGTGTTACCACTCAATGTACACACTTGCGCCTCATGCTCCTTTTGCATCACTTACGATCATATTTTCCCAGCTCACTCTGATGTATCCCAACATTGTGATGGTGTAAGCACAACCTGCTGCTGATATTGCTGCACTGGTTCCTGCGTGTGCCCACCGTGCTCTCTCTCTCTCTCTCTCTCTCTCTCTCTCTCTCTCTCTCTCTCTCTCTCTCTCTCTCTCTCTCTCTCTCTCTCTCTCTCTCTCTCTCTATCTCTCTTAATGGCAGGGATTTACGGATGAACGACCTGAATGGTGTTGGCCCAGCCTGCTACCGACTGGGTTAAAAGGGCATGTTTGTATGGTGGGTAGCACACCCATTACCCCCCAGGCCGTGCCTGTAGCCCTCCCACACTCAACTCGGGACGATCCCAGTGCCCCACCAACAAATGGACCCATCCCAGAAAGCCTCTTTGGACTACCAAGTATGCAGGAAATGTAAGCTACCCCTAGTGCATCCAGAAACATAAAGCATAGATTCTACCCCCACTCAGCATGGTCTTTTTGGGTGACTTCACCTCCCTCTTACTATAATTGTAAAAAGCAATTTTTTGTCCAGGACCATGGATGGTGTTCGTTGTTTTTTGGAGCCAAGAGGAGGTGCTGTTGATTCATGGAGCCATGGTCACACAAAGGCGTATATGATAATTTATGGATCATGGTGATGTATTGTTGCAATTGATCCGTGGCCATACAACAGGGTTTGTAATCATGGGCACGCAAATGGACAATAATGCACAATCACACAACACCTCAACGCATTTGCACGCTGGTTTGTCAGTGACTGTGCAACCTTTGCTGTATCCACCATGGCTACGCAGGTGGCTTGAAAGTAATAAGCTCACTGGGACGATTCCACCTACAATTGGCAGCCTTGCCTATGTTACCCTATTGTAAGTGGTGATTGTTATGGTGCACATGGAAAGTATATATGATACGAACGATACGCACAATCATGCCTGCTGTGCGATAAGTCCTCAGCCAAGTCCTCTGCCACCTTGGGAAAGAGGAGCATTTCACCGTCACCTCCAGGCATTTCACCGTCACCTCCAGGCATTTCACCGTCAGCACTTGAAGCCTTTAGATTGGTTATGAAACAACAGCTGATTATCCATTACATTTTGGTCCCTGTTTCACCGTGCCTTCACCATGCCTTCACCATGCCTTCACCATGCCTTCACCTGAATTCGCCATGCCTTCACCATGCCTTCACCATGCCTTCACCTGAATTCGCCATGCCTTCCCTGTGATGGCTTTCAGGTCACTTGCCAACAACCGCTTATTTGGACTCATACCTGAAGCAGTCACCATTCTCACACAACTCGTGACTTTGTAGGACATGCTGGTTCGCACATGCATGCACATGTGCTCACATTGTTTCTAGTGGTGAAAGTTCTGCTGAAAGTTCTTGGAACAAACTCTTTCTGAATGCCTGTAGCTTTTCACAATTATATTCGTCAGTCTTGCAAATGAACAGAATGCTATCAAATCAAACCTTCCATATTCATCCTCACTTGATTGTATATTCCATTCCAGTCGAATACAGTCACTTGTCAAGGGAACTGGATAGAAATCACTAGAGTTCCCAGGGGCCTGTGCTCGCGTGTTGCTGTGTTCAGGTGTATAAAAGCGACTATGATGGAAAAATTAATGATACAACAATCTCCTCCGTCCAATAGCTTGCCACTGTCCTATGATGTATCTGTCCAAGCCTTGTACAAATTTTGATCACACCTCATCTCTGTCATCTGCTCTTCTTTTGCTTTCCGTGCCCTGACCTTTGGTCCTGTCCTTCCTTCCACCTGTAATCCCTCCACCACCCCACACACAGCGACCTCTCCCGCAACTATTTCACAGGCGGCCTTGTGAAGCCAGCTAACGTGCAGGCTGTGCTCTCATACAACTACCTCTCGGGCACTCTGCCTGCACAGCCAACAGACTTGCTCGATGCAAACTGCTTCAAACTGGCTCAAGGGCAAACCTCACCAGTGCAGCGCCCTGAGTCAGCATGCCAGGCGTTTTGCGGAACGGCAGCTAGTTCTCCTACTGCAACCTGCAGCGGCCATGGGTTTTGCTATCCCGACGGACCTAACTTGGTGCCTACCTGCTCGTGCGATGAAGGGTTTTACTCTTTTCGTAGGACCTATTGCCTTGCCAAAGGTAAGAAAGTCATGGTTGATTGGAGAGGAGGCACGGGATGGCTGTATTGAGAAGACACTCAAAGCGGTTCTGTGCTTAGATGTTATGTGTGCGTGCAGACAGACAGCCATTCATTGTTATTCCTTTTACACAGCACATCACAGACAGCCATTCATTGTTATTCCTTTTACACAGCACATCACAGACAGCCATTCATTGTTATTCCTTTTACACAGCACATCACAGACAGCCATTCATTGTTATTCCTTTTACACAGCACATCACAGACAGCCATGCATTGTTATTCCTTTTACACAGCACATCACATTCAGCCATTCATTGTTATTCCTTTTACACAGCACATCACAGACAGCCATTCATTGGAGAGAATGTCCAGCCGTCCCAATGGCTCACACTCCCCTAACCTCTTCAAATTATTTCCCTCTTGCTGTTTCTCACCCCTCGTAACCACGTAATTCCAGAAACTGTCCTTGCCGCACCACTTGCAAAGGCAATCCTCCCACCGTCAACAGTGCTGACTACTGGAACGAAGCAGGAAACCGTTGGAAAGTTCTTTTCTGAGCCAGTGCCCTTGTTTGTGTACGAGAATGGTCAACAGGACCCGGGCTGTGGGTTCGAGCTGGCCTTCAGTGTCAACTTCACCTTCGCCCTCTCGCCCAAAGCTAAGGCCGTCTCAAACGGCTTCGCCTTTGTTGTCTCAGCAACCAAAACGGTGAGGAGCGGTGTTGGAGTGGGGTTCGGTGGGATGGACGAGCGAAGCATGGCGATCGAGTTTGACGTGCTTCAGAACAAGCCGCACAACGACATGAAGGACCAACACGTGGGGCTGAACATTCAGGGCCAAGACAAGTCAATTGCTGCTGTGAAGTCCCCGTTCCTACTGACCAACAAGCAGCCATACACGGCATGGGTGGACTATGTTCCAGGGGACCCCGGCACCATCCAGTTGTTCTTGGCAACAACAGCAGTGAAGCCTGCAAAGCCGCTGCTGGACAGGCGGCTGTCTCTGTGTGCTGTGCTGAAGCCGGGGCCACCGCAGGCGGAGGGGATGGTGCAGCTGCCGCGGGCGTTCTACTTTGGCTTCGTGGCGTCCACCACAGTGAAGCCGTTCATGATTCACACCATCCTCACCTCTGCCCTGCAGACAGGTGGGAAGCTGGTAGTTCTCTCCTTTGATTGTTCAGCAGGACCTCGACTCACCTCTGATCTGATTGTAGTTCTGATGAATGTAGTAAAACCTCACTGTGGACATGTGGAATTCTGCAGCTCCTTTGATCATACGAACTAGGCCCTCCCTAGTTTCCACCTATCATGCTCCTTTCTCTTGGAATGCTGGGTTGGCTCTACTCATGCATTTTTCCTCGCAATTTCATGGATCATGGATCCTCATACATATGTTTCTCCTACACTCAAAGCCCTAACTTCTGCCGGTTTATGTCCTCGTTGCCTGCTTCCTCTGTGTCAGACACTCCTCCTGCACGAGGCCCTGTCAACATCAACCCAGACAATTCATTGCAAGCATAGCATTGACATAGGATATTGGATTGGTCATTGTCTCTCACTACATCATTGCACCAGGCAGGAACGCATGCCACCAGCCCAACGCTGGTAACGGCACCCAATTTGATACATCGTGAGGGATACACAGTTTTCTTCCTTCTCATTTCGACTGCACGTGCTCCAATCATCTACCCGTCTTCCCTCTTCCACTTCACGTTCTCAGCCGCCTTTTCCCACCCTCTCCTCACTCTCTCTATCTGCTCTCATCTATGCTCCCACTACAGCCTACGGTCTTAACGTATCACTGAACACGTATGTGCCTGCAAAAGCGAGCCCCTTCCCGCGCTACGTGAGTGCGGACTACCGAGTGTCGGCCGGGCAGAAGGACTCGTGGGTCATCAAGGACCTCCACTCCTGGGACGCTGTGCCCTTCCTCGGTTGGCCCGTCAAGGACCAGGGTGACTGCAGTAAGTACGGGCCGGTAATGCTAGTCTGGGCAATCGCACTGAGTGCCAAGCCAATAGGGGGACTGCAGTGGGTGCTAAATCAAATGGGGGATTGCAAATATATTGTTGGGGCAGGAAAGCTTCTGAGCGAGGCATTCCATGCCTAATTCTCCCTAATTTCTGTATTGTAGAGGTACCTAGTCCATACTTCCTTTCCTAACTTCCCCCCCACATCTGTCCTTTATACTTTTCAGTTCACCCAGCACTGTAGCCACCGTAAAGGCTCCTTCCTGGTGTTCCTTATCCGTTCCTTCTGTGCCCTCTCTAGATGCATGCTGGGCATACGCAGTGGTGGCGAGCATAGAGCAGCATACGGCATTGCTACAAATCAAGAGGCACCGCAGCTGGCAGTGGACTCACTCTTCACAGCCATGGGCCTCACCTCCCAGGCAGCCAAGTGCACTGCGGGAGGCTCCCCCACTGAAGCCTTTGAGAAGCTGCTGGCCCTGCCGGCAGGGGGCATCACCATGGACGGCAATAAGGTATGAAAGTCGAAAATGTTTGTCACTGTGGGGTACGAGTATTTCGGGGAGGTTGACTTCTTGTTGTGTGCATGGGTCACCTCATTTGTTTCAACAGAAGGTAAAATCCAAAAGTAAGGGTAGAAAATTCTGGAAGAGCTCCTGACTGACAGTGAACTCCTTACTGGAAAAGACAATCCAGGATATCATGAGGCTATGAGGGTGTTGGATGCAATGTGCTGACGTATTATGGTAAGCGTCAAAATGGATTCTTGAACAACACTCCTATTTGATGAGGCAGGCGCAACGGTCAATTTCATAGTTCTAAAATCGACCCTGCTCAATGCTCGAAACAGATGCTACTAGTTAGAAAATATGTTTCCGAAACGGCAAAACGGCACATGAAAAATGTTTTTTTGGAGATCCAACAATTCTCTTTTTCATAAAATGGCTCATACGCCAGCTACGTGACGTGGCCACGTCAAACCCTGAAATCTCTCACTTCCACTTCATGATATTTTCTTTTGACTGTTTGTTTGTTCCTTTTTTTCCTCAATCCACTCTGTTTTCCAACCTGGACACTTGCTCTTCTCTATTTCAGAAAGTCACTTTCCCTGTCCAGGGATTTGAGCGCACTGCCTTCAAGGGGTATGTGGGCCTCATGTTGGCAGTGCAGCGGCAGCCAGTGGTTGTTCACATCGAAGCCTCTGCTACCTCCTTCACCAAATATGATGGGGTGAGTGCCTGGGCATATCCACCTAAATAGTAGGTGTGCAGCATAGGTAGTGCATTACGCATATCTGTGTGTGCGTCGGTGCATGGTGCGTGTGCGTGTGCATGGGTTTGTGTGTGTGTGTGTGTGTGTGTGTGTGTGTGTGTGTGTGCGTGCGTGTGTGTGTGTGTGCAGGCGTGTTTGCAGCCTACCCTGGTTTTCTATCACTTAACTTCGTCACTCTTGGCACTATGTCTTTTCAAATGCCCTTGTGTCTCCAGACCTTCAAGTACCAGCACCCTGCTATACCGGCAACCTTAATCACGTTGTACTCGTTGTTGGCTACCTTGTTTTGAGAAACGATGGGAGTCAGAACCGCATTGCGCCGCCGTTCTGGATCATCCGCAACTCGTGGGGCGAGGCGTGGGGAGACAGGGGCCACATGAAAATGGACATTCAGGGAGGGGATGGCGTGTGTGGCATCAACGTGCTGCCTGGCATCTACCCCATTGTCAAGAGTGAGGCATTTACCTTGGGTCGGGATTCGATTTTCTAGACCGATGTTTATGAGCCATTAGTCTGACACAGGGGCAAGACTAACCATCACAAGGGCAGCTACCTGTCTCCAAGCCCTACCATGCCCAAGTTCATCTTGTTAAACTGATTGCATCTGTTCCTTCTATTTACGTTGATTCCAAGCTTCTTTCCCTCCATTCCACTTATTTGGCTCGCTCTGATTCTTCTAGTTGCGGGGGACCCTTGCGGTTTGAAGAGCTACAAGGGCGATGGAGACCTGCAGCCCAGCATGAACCCGTGTGGTCGCTTCACATGCACTCCGTTCCCCAAGACCAACAACAACACCTGCGCCTGCACCCTTCCCGCCCCTCAGACCAAGCAACCCTTTATTGAGGCTGCAAACGGCTATGGAAACACTTGTTTATATGGTGAGACACATTCAAACCGTGTCCACTGTGTTTCGTATGTGGGGTTCGTCCTATGTGCAACATCTATGTTGTGAGAGCAAAAGTACTAATAGTGAATACGATAACAGTGGGCTACCATGGTTGTTTGCAGACAAAGGGAACTGCTACCACACAATGATGAGCCTGTTTTTCCTTCTTCTGCTCTTCTTTCCTCGGGAAAAATATATTCCTTCGTACATCCATTCCCTTCCACCTCTCCATCTCTCTCCTCGGCCTTTGTCAGTGGACGTGTGTGGGTCGTACTTCAAGAACCCTTGTGCCGTGGGCACATGCATCAACGATGGCAAGGGCTCCTACTCCTGCATCTGCCCTCTTAACTACGTCAACAGCACAACCATCGACAAATTCTCCACCTGCGACCCAGGTGCTGCTGCTCCCCCACCTTCCTCTACCTCCTCGTGTCTCACAGCTATGCTTCTCTCTTGCCATTTCTTAAATTGAACTCTTACTATTCTCTCACTATTCCACTAGTGCAGCTCAATATTGCTCGAGCAGTGCATGATACGATACGCAATCACACCCTGACCTTTCACTTTGATGCTCTCACTGGCGTTCGTGCTTCCTCATTCACATCCATTTCTTTTCCCTGCTGACTTTTTCAAACTCTTCCGTTCTCCCTCCTTCACTCCCCCCTCCGTCTTCCAGCCAACACCACTGCCATCAACTTGGTTGTGGCAGGAGACAACTGGTTGTGCTCCGACATCTACCCTCTCATGGGCCTCACTCTATCGCAGTTCACCTCACAGAACCCAGTAAGTTTACTTTTGATTCGACTCGGAAGTCATCAGACATCTACCCTCTAGTGGGCCTCACCCTATTGCAGTTCACATCACAGAACCCAGTAAGGAGAGAACAATCAGACTCCAGGAAGATCAACTTGGTCGTGTCAGGTGACAACTGGTTGTGCTCCGAAATCTACCCTCTCGTGGGCCTCACTCAAACGCAGTTCACATCTGTGGTACACATGGAAAGCACAGGATGGAATGTGAGGCGCAGGCATAGGGTGAACTGGCTTGCCAGAAGGGTGCGAGGTGGTGGGAGAGGTGCGAGGTTACAATCAGCTTGCAAAATCCATGCGTGTGCTTCTTCCCGCCCTTCATATCTGTGCCTCTGGATGCCCCCTCCCCACCCCTCCCTCTATGCCTGTGCTTCTTAACGCAGTCTGTCGTGTGCACCAAAGCCTTGCCAAAAGGGAGACGACTTCTGATCGTCGATACTCCTGCCATCCCCTGCACTGCCTACTTCTACACTCTCAGTGTGAGTTTCACTTGCCCAGAATTCTGAATTCCTACTGCATGACTAGTTTCTGGTGCATAATTTCTGTTTTCAGCTCATCTGCATCACTCTGAACCAACAGCTTTGCAACGCATGTGCATCCAATAAAGCGTTTTCAATAATCTGTCTATAAACAATGTTATCACCATCACCAATCCTATTTGATCCACGTCGTTGCTCCCTCCACCCTCCAGGGCGACACGTGTCTTTCCATTGCCACCTCTCTTCACTCCACTTTGGCTGACCTCCTGAATCTCGACCCTGGCCTTGACTGCATGCAAACCATTAAGGCCGGCCGCTCGATTTGTGTGGAACGCAATGAGAAGTACGCCTACAGTGTTCCTGAGTGCGTGAAATACACCATTCTCGCACCACAGGACACGTGTGAGCAGCTGCTGCAGGGGCAAGGATTGCAGAACGATCCATCCATCTGGGCTGAGCTCTACCGCAACAATCCCGGTCTTGTCTGCTCCAGCACCATCCCTGCCTCTGCCTCAGATGTTGGCAGCAATGCTGGCGTGCAGGTGAGGGGTGGAATTGGTGCAGGAACAGGCTACGGTAGGGGAGGTGAGAGAACAACTGTGGAGTTGGTCAGCCTTGTTGCTCACATATGCTCTTTTTTTATCAGATATATGATGTAAGTAATGTTCTCATCTCGTCGTTATACTCTCATCCCTTTGAACTCACCATGTCGTCCATTTTACGGTAACATCTATCTTTTACTACCCAATGTACCTTTTATCTCCTCCACTCCCCTATCGTCTTTCTACCCTCTTCCCGTGTTGCACTCCCAGGTGTGCCTGAAGGCAGAATATTGGCCATTTCAACTCGGCCAATGCACCAAGGGCCGGCCCAAGAATGTGTCTCCCTTGCTGACTTGTTCCGCTGCTTACAGCTACTATGGCGGCACTATGACCCAAGCATCTGCAGATTTCAATACCTACAATGGCAATGCCTGTGCCAAGAATGTTGGAGCAAAATTCATATGCGTGCCACGCTAAGTGAGTGCGGTTTTCTGCCAGGTGAAATCAGCGCTGACCCCTTGTTGGTCAGAATCTTTGTGTTCTTGTGTGTCTTGTCATCGTTTGCGTGTAGCACGCGTTCATTTTGTTTTGGTGATGAACCATATGGCGTGGGTTTGAAAATATGATTCCCTTTTTCCAGATATATTGTAATGTATGCTGTACTATTACCTTTGTGATATAGAGGAAGACATTTTGAGCATAAGGAGATAGCCGCCACCGCCATTGGTGCTGCTGTTGGCAAATAACTTCACTTGCGGTTGAGTGTTCTTGTGCTGCTTCTCGTTTCCCTTAGTTGTCCCTTACATTTTCACCACCCCCAAAAGCCACTTCTCTTCCACCCCCCCAAACTAGCTTGTGCGGGTGGGAGATGTAAGGTACAAAAAAAGAAACGAGAGGTAGCACAAGAACTCTCACCCGAAAGCCACGTTTCTTGTCAACAGAAGTAGCAATGGCGGTGGCGGCTGTCTCCTTTTGTTCACTAAAAACGCGCTGCAGCGCCTCACAATTTGTCTTTAGTGCCAATGCCTAGGTGGTAGCAACAGACAACTGTTCCGTCAGCTGCTCCACTTCCTTTCATGCCAAACTCACCTCAGCCAACACTTGCTGCGGGAGGGACAATGAATGATAAACAAGGATAACTAGGATATGTTTTATAACCACAACACTCCTACGCTTGTGCTGCACTAGGTAGTGATGGGATAGAGCAGCAAAAAAATCACGATAGCTCAAGCCGCCTTTAGTGCATGACGGAGCCGAAATGTAGCTCGGACGGGCAGGCCTGACTACCGAGCCAGGCTACGGCTTGGACCAAACCTGGTTTGGGTTGGGCGGACTGTCAAAAGTCGAGTTGGTTCGGTTCCCTGGCAGAGCTTCAGGTTGGCCCATGCTTACGTCCATTGATAGTCTGGTGTGCATTGTGTTTGGGACAGGCTATTATTGTCCTGCAGGCTTTTACGTGTGCTGTCATTATTTGAAGTGTTTCTTTTCTTTCCTCTCTCTTCCTATTGGTTCTGCGGTGGCGGTGTTTGCAGGGAGAAGGACATTGAAACTGGTGACTTTGTTCAGGTGGGTGCCGAAACTTTGGCACCAGGGCTCACTAGGGGCACTGGACTCATTAGGGGGAATGGTGTTAGTAGGAGCACTGGCGCCAGTAGAGGTACAAGGGACAATGGGGACATGTGGGCAATCGGGGGCACTAATTAGGGAAACTAAGTTCACTAGGACTACTAGGGGTACTGGAATCAGCTGGGGAACCAGGGACAGTGGGGACACTGGGGCAGTAGGGGAACCTGGGGCACACGTAACCCTCCCCTTTTCAGAAGTTTTATGCTGTGGTGGTGATGGAACTGTCGTGTCACGTGCCATGCTGTGTCACGCGCCACGTCCCATGTGCCACGTCCCATGTGCCATGTGCCATGTGCCGTGTGCCATGTGTCATGACATTCCATGCGCCCTCTCTCTGGCTTCTCCTCTCAGCCGCTCTCCCACGCACCATTTCATGCTGGGGATCTACATATGCCATGCCATCTAGTAGATGGTTCTGTCAGCATGGTCCTAGCAGTAGATGCACGTGCCATTCACGTGAGGCAAACTGATTTGAACCCCCCAATCCATGCTTGCAATCTTGCTGTTTTTCCCTTGCCCTCCCCCCTTCCCCTTCCGTTCATGCCCACAAGTCCTTGCCCTCCTTTCATTCCCCTACCCCTCTTGCCTCTTCACCCCTTCATCTTCCTGCTCCCTTCCTCCTCCCCATCTCCACCCCACCACCCAACCCCTCGTCCCACAGCAAGCGGCGGAGGCAGTGGCAGTGGCGAGAGCACACGGCATTCCCTTGGTGATAAACGACCGTGTAGACGTGGCGCTGGCAGTGGATGCAGACGGCATTCACGTGGGGCGATCCGACATGGATGCTGCTTCCATTGCTTCCCTTCTTACTGCCTTTCCCTTGCCCTCCCACCTTCCCTTTCCCCTGCCCACATTCCCCCCTCTCCCCCTGCCCACGTGCCCTCTGCGCCTTTCCCCTTCCCCCCCTCCCTTTTTTTTCCCGCAACCCCCATTCCCACCCCAACACCCCACCCCCTCTCCTCACAGCAAGCAGCAGAGGCAGTGGCAGTGGCGAGAGCACACGGCATTCCCTTGGTGATAAACGACCGTGTAGACGTGGCTCTGGCAGTGGATGCAGACAGCATTCACGTGGGGCAATCCGATATGGATGCTGCTACTGCCAGGCAGACTCTAGGCCCAACGAGGATCATCGGTGTCTCGTGTAAGAGCCGAGAGCATGCAGAGAAGGCATGGCGGGATGGCGCGGATTATATCGGGGTCGGGGGTGTATTCCCGACAAATACCAAGGAGAATAACAAAACGATTGGCGTGGAGGGGCTTGCGGACATGTGTCTTGTGTCGAAGCTGCCAGTTGTGGCTATAGGGGGAATAAAAGGAGGGAATATTTCGGATGTGGTGAAAGGAGTGGCTAATGCTGCTGCCGCTGGGGCAAGTGGCACAGATGGGGCGGCACCTGCAGGTGAATCTTCAGGTGAAATTAGAGACATGTGGGAGGGGAGTGCATGTGGAGCATTGGGAGGGGTTGCTGTGGAGTCTGCTATTTTTGACCAGACCGATATTGTGGCCGCAACACAGGGGCTGGTTAAAGCCTTGGATGCTGCAGAGGAAGGCACACCATTGTGTAAATAACAAGGGCCAAACATGGCAATAGTAGACAGTGGAAGGCACAGTGGAGTGACTCCAACTGTAGACCCTGATCTCACAAGTCCTAGCACGAAATGGATATCCTAAGACATGGAAAGTGACACATCTATCTAGCGTGGCACACAAATGAACTTTGACCCAACATTCTTGGCACAGGCATTGCCGTTGTAGGTATTGAAATCTGCAGCTGCTTGGGTCATAGTGCCGCCATAGTAGCTGTAAGCAGCGGAACAAGTCAGCGAGGGCGACACATTCTAGGGCCGGCCCTTGGTGCATTTGCCAAGTTGAAATGACCAGTATTCCGCTTTCAGGCACACCTGGGAGTGCGAGATGGTCAGTGAGTAGAAAGGTGATATGGGGGTGGAGGCCAAGCAGGGAAGGACAACGTAGATGGAAGGAGTGAGACATGGGAACAGCGTAGAATGATGGGAGAGGGAAAGAGAACTTGATGAATGTGAAGATAAAAAAGTAAGCGTTTTCTCATGTCCATATCGCTTGCTTGTTAGCGAACAAAGAATCCTACCCCCCCTCCCCCCCCCCCGCCCTCTCTCCCCCCCTTTCACCCCTCACCTGCACGCCAGCATTGCTTCCATCAGCCGAGGAAGAGCCAGGATTTGTGCTGGCACAGACAAGGCCGGGATTGTTGCGGTAGAGCTTGGCCCAGTTGGATGGATTGTTCTGCAGTCCCAACCCCTGCAGCAGCCGCTCACACGTGTCCTGCGCTGTGAGCGTGGCGTATTTCACACACTCCGGGACGCTGTAGGCATAAGTCTCGTTGCGCTCCACACAGATAGAACGGCCAGGCTGGATGGTTTGCGTGCAGTCAAGGCCGGGGTTGAGATCCATAAGGTCGTCTCTTGTGAGGCGAACAGAATCGGCGATGGAGACACATATGTCACCCTGTATAGGGAGGATGGAAGGGGGCGAGAGTTGAGTTGAAGCCCGCTCATAAGAAATCTGGACTTTGTGCGGTTTGATGCTGAATAGGCAGAAAGTTGTTCTGTGAAGGCTTTGTGCGTGCAATGCGAATTTGATGCACTGAACCTGAAAAAAGGATGATGAGAGGATCAGACAGAGGCTGACAATTAGGGTTCATGAAACTTCAGTCAGGGTCACCAAAGCTCACACTGAGAGTGTAGAAGTATGCAGTGCAGGGGATGGCAGGAGTATCAACAAGCTGGATCACCGTCCCTCTAGGCAAGGCTTTGGAGCACACAAGTGTCTGCGTGATCAAGCGTAAACATAGGGTGTGTTCAGAGACTTCAGAAGCACAGACGTAGAGGGAAGGGTATAAAGCATGCGCATAGTAGCTAGTTAAAGAGGCTGACTCTAAGTCCACCCTCCCAGCCCAAATTATTCCTTCGTGTGCCATTTGGGTAGAAAAGAAAGCAAATCAGCATAGTAGTTTCTCCTACCCATGTGAATTTACTTCCCCTGCCCTTCCTATGTGTGTAACAATGAAGCCAAGTTTTTCTCCTATGCCTTCCCCTCTCAACTCCTCCCCTTCCCATGTAACAGGCAGGATATCCCCACCATGTTGTGCTGAGTTGAGTATAGCAGTAGAGGGACTGGAGGTGAGTAGTGAAGGGCCTATTGGGTTACCCCAGGTAACGGTAACAGACAGCACATTCTGATCGACACTAGTGCCGCCCTCACAACCTCTTCTCACCGGGTTCTGCTGAATGAACTGCGCATACAAGAGTCCTGCCAGGGGATACACGTCTGAACAGAACCAGTTGTCACCGATTACCGTCATGTTGGTGGCTGTGGTGTTGGCTGGAGGAGACAAGGGGTGTTGGAGAGAGGGGATTGATTTTTTGGTTAACTTTGGGTTTGTGAGAGTACTTTTTTCAGAGTAGGAAAATGCGGATGGAGTAGTTGGAGAAAAGGGGATGCAGACGAAGGTGGTGCTTGGTGCAGCAGCACCTGGATCGCAGGTGGGGAAGTTGTCTATGGTTGTGCTGCTGATGTAGTTGGGAGGGCAGATGCAGGAGTAGGCGCCCTTGCCATCGTTGATGCATGTGCCGACAGTACAAGGGTTCTTGAAGTACGACCCACACACGTCCACTGATGAAAAAAGTGGAGGACGCAAGAGGGAGAGGTGGGAGACGATGGGTGGAGGCATTGAGTTTTTCCTTTGGAAAAGTAGCAACATAAAATGGGGTTTGCCTTTCAAATCTTGCTGCAATGGGCTCAAAGTTGGTCCCAGTGGACTCAAACTGGTTAGGCAAGTTCAAAAAGAACCATCTTTGCTGTTGACAGCCACCGTTTCAGTTTGAAACCACGGTAGATGTTGATAAAATCCATGGTTCAGTTTGATGCGAACCGGTCTCTTCAAACCGAACCACGTTCATGTGCATGTCTATATTCTATCTGTAACAATCAACCATAACTGGTCTTGCTTAAGACCTTCTCTCCGGATCACAAAAGGCTGCAAAGGTTGGGGCAGCTTACACATACTTTCAAGGTTTCTTTTCACACCACAATACAGGACAACACTATTCAAACGTGAATCGACTCACCATAGGCGCAGGTCTTCCCGTAGCCATTCACAGCCTCAACAAAGGGCTGCTTGGTCTGAGCTGGAAGGGAGCAGGTGCATGTGTTACTGTTGGTCTTGGTGATGGGCTTGCAGGTGAAGCGACCGCACGGGTTCATGCTGGGCTGCAGGTCTCCATCGCCCTTGTAGCTCTTCAAGCCACACGGGTCCCCTGGAACTGGAAGAAACAAAAGCGAAATGTGGGAAACATGGGAAATAAATTAGGACATTAGGCAGTACAGGTAACAAGAAAAACATGGAAGCATTAGAAGACAGAAATAGAAGCGGAAAAGCTAACTATGTGTCGTAGACACCTCCCTCTTGACAATGGGGTGGGCGCCTAACTGCTGAGTTTGGGTTAGCTTAATGCCCAGTTGTTGAGCATGGGTGAGATGAACCAATATTGGCAATGGGGTAGCGTGTTACACTTGACAATCGGATTCGCCCTGATAACCATACCATGAGCCTAGTTTCAATAATTCACTCATGATAATGGGAGTAGAGGCCCTCACTCTTGACAATGGGGTAGATGCCAGGCAGCACGTTGATGCCACACACGCCATCCCCTCCCTGAATATCCATGCGCATGTGGCCCCTGTCGCCCCACTCCTCCCCCCACGAGTTGCGGATGATCCAAAATTGCGGGGCAATGCGGTTCTCACTCCCATCATTTCTCAAAACGAAGTATCCAACAACGAGTACAACGTGGTTAAGGTTGCCGGTATAGCAGCCAGGGTCCTGGTACTTGAACGTCTGGAGACACAAGGGAAAACGAAAAAGTGTAATGTAGAAAATGACGTGTACATGAGGTGTACAAGCCTCACAAAGGTGAATGATACCAGCAGACATAGAACCTAGAAAACACATCAAATATAATAAATTGCATGCAACATGTCTACAGCATGTTAATTTACCCATCACACACTGAACATTCCCAACAAACAATGTGTGTGCACAAAACACTCACTATTCCCAACACTTTCTGTACACTGTCAACACACTCTTAGTGAATATGCAAAGCCAAAACTCACCCCATCATATTTGGTGAATGATACAGCAGAGGCTTCGATGTGAACCACCACTGGCTGCTGCTGCACTGCCAGTAAAAGCCCCACATACCCCTTGAAGGCCGTGCGCTCAAAGCCCTGAATTGGGTATGTTACATTCTGAAAGTCGAAAGTGTACGCGATGTGAAGTTGGTAATGGGAGGGCATAACCGATAGAAAGGGAAAAATGTCATCATCAGTAGAACAAAGGCACTGTGTATTGCTGTTACTAGCTAGTAGGCTGAAAGATACTCTACACTCGACACCACATTCGATTACACAAGTTGAGTCGAATGGCGCTCCTAGATCGCGAGATCACAGTGTGAGATTCACAAGTCAACATCAGAAGAGCCAAGAACGAAAAAGCAAGGGCAGATCCGTGTTCCGGTGGACCCCAGACATTGTTTTTCAGTGACAGCTGGAGAGGCAAAGATGCCATAAGAAAAGAAAAATCGTTTGACTGACTTTAACATTATAGCAACCTCTGAGACAACTCAGTACCCGTAAGCCTCCAGTATCCAATCTCACTCTTGCACACAGGTCATCACGTCAATGCTTCCCGTACCGACGTTGCCACAAACATAATGTCATCTCATTTATTTCATTCCATACTTGCAATCATCAGCCATCTTTCAGCTTCATCTTACACCACAACACAACGGCACTCCCTTATATGCACCGAGTACGATCATCGCCTCACGACTTCCCACACTCTCTCACCCTCATTTCTCGTGACATACCAGATTGATTTCCATGTTGAGTCCCCCTTTAGGCAGAGCCAGCAGCTTCTCAAAGGCTTCAGTCGGGGATCCCCCAGCAGTGCACCTGTCTTCCTGGGTGGTGAGGCCCATGGCTGTGAAGATTGAATTTACTGACAGCTTCGGCACCTCAAGATATGTTGCAATGCCGTACGCTTCTTCTATGCTCGACACCACTGCGAACGCCCAGCATGCGTCTGAGGGAGAGGGCACGGAACAAACACAAGGTGAGCCTTTAGCTGGAAGGTTTTGTGATAGTGGATTTGGGAAGAAAAAAAGATGCTGAAAGCCGGTGAACATGAAAGAAGTTGGGGTTGATGCCAGAAAAAAATCGGAACAGGGAACCAGAAGCACCAGAAGAAACATTCACAACAAAACAGAAGAGCAAATATAGTATTGCATAGACAGGTCTACTCTTGATAACAACAGGTCTTCGCCCACTTTAGTCTACCAGGCAATCTTTTGGCTTGGCACTCACTGCAGTCGCCCTGGTCCTTGACTGGCCAGCCGAGGAAGGGCACGGCGTCCCAGGAGTGGAGGTCCCTGAAGACCCACGAGTCCTTCTGACCGGCAGACACTCGGTAGTCCGCACTCACATACCGCGGGAAGGGGCTTGCTTTTGTGGGCACATACGTGTTCAATGCTATGTTAAGACCGTAGGCTGTAGTGTAGCGAGCATAGGCGGCGGGTGGTGTGTAGAGGGGCGGGAGAGGACATGACGTCATGGCAGATGGAAGATGTGTAGATGCTTAGTGCAGGTGTGAGTGAGAAGGGAATGAAGCAGCTCACTAAGTAGAGTGTAGCCTGTGGGCCTAAAGATAGTGAGGAGAAGTCAAAAGCAAGCAAGCACGGATGTGCAATGTCTTGCCTGGATTGATATTGACAGTTCCCCGTGCAGGAGGAGCGTCTGAGGCAAGGAAAGACGGCAAGAATAAAAGGGAAAATGACACAGATTGATTAGGGTTCTGGCATAGGATACGGTTGGTGTTTAGGAAGGTGCAATACACGGGTACAATTTTTCATAACAATGTGTGGAGCAAGGTAAACTGATGGAGCCTAAGGGTTGGAAACATCAAAGCGTTGCGTACATTCCCCGGCACATTACTAGATGCACAAAACAAACTGTTGCCTCTGCTGATGATTGCATGGGCAGCTTAAGGGTTCTGGTTCTTAGGAAACATGGGGTCTCTCTGATCAAGGGCCAGCTTGCCATCTGTGCACAGGGCAAACTTCACTCTGCGCAATCAAAGGAGGGAGCTACCGGCTTCCCATTGTGCCCTGGGCAGAGGTGAGGGTGGCACCCACCTGTGCGCTGTGCAGGGCAGAGCTGACCATATAGTACGTTCATGCGATCTCTCTGCACAATCGAAGGAGGGAGGGAGTTACGGGCTGCTCACCTGTGCGCAGGGCAGAGCTGAGAATGGTGTGAATCATGAACGGCTTGACTGTGGTGGACGCCACGAAGCCAAAGTAGAACGCCCGCGGCCGCTGCTGCTCCACCTGCTCTGCCTGCGGCGGCCCCGGTTGCAGCAATGCACACAGTGACAGCCGCCTTTCTAGCAGCGGCTTAGCCGGCTTGACTGTGGTGTTTGACAGGTAAACCAGGATGGTGCCAGGGTCTCCTGGCGCATAGTCCACCCATGCCGTGTATGCCTTCTTGTCGGTCAGCATGAATGGTGATTTCGCAGCAGCGATTGATATGTCCCGACCCTGAATGTTGAGGCCCACGTGCTGGTCTTTCATGTCTAAATGAGCCTTTGTCTGAAGCACGTCAAACTCTACAGCCGTGCTTCGGGTGTCCATCCCACCATACCCCACCCCAGCATCGCTCCCCACTGTGTTTTTTGCCGAGACGACAAAGGCAAAGCCGTTGGAAACTGCTTTGCCCATGGGTGAGAGTGTGAAGGTGAAGTTGACACTGAATGCCAGCTCAAACCCGCACCCTGGGTTTTCCCGCCCTTTCTCGTACACAAACAAGGGCACCGGATCTGCAGTAAACGTCCCCACTTTTTCCTTCTTCGTTCCTGTAGTCAGCACAGTTGACGGGGGAAGAATCATCTTCTCAAGTGGAGCAGCAATGACCGTTTCTGGAGGAAAGGTGGAGGGATGGGCAAGAGCACCAAAGGAGAGGAATTATGGCCAGGTTAGAGATTGAAGGCTGGACATCTCTAGAGGGATGGTGTGAATGGATGACATGACATGACATGACAACACACGTGGGTTTGCAGGCAATAAGTATGATAGTTGCACCTCTGCTCCCCCACATCCAGATCTATGGACGCACAATCACATAAGCGCCGATTTACATGCATTTTCTGCCACGCATGTGCAGCTCTCGTCTATGCATGCGTGGCCATGTGAATATGCGCATGTGAAGCTCTCTTCTCTGCATGCGTGGCCATGTGAATATGCGCATGTGCAGCTCTCTTCAGCCCCATTTGCACGAGCAAAGTGAGCAAGACATAACCTTGCTTACCATCAACGAGGCAGTAAGTCCCTCGAAAAGTGTAGAACCCTGCATCGCACGAGCACGTAGGCACCAAGTTAGGCCCATCAGGGTAGCACACTCCATGACCGCTGCAACGAGCAGAGGTAGAACCAATGGCAATGCCGCAAAACGCCCGGCATGCTGACTGGGGGCGCTGCACTGGTGAGGTTTCCCCAGCAGGCAGTTTGAAGCAGTTAGCATCTAACGCGTCGGGCTGCTGTTGAAGCAGCACGCCCGAGAGGTAGTTGTATGAAAGCACAGCCAGCACGTTAGCAGGCTTCACAAGGGCGCCAGTGAAATAGTTGTTGGAGAGGTCGCTGTGAGGGGGAGGGGGAGAGAATTCGTGGGAAAAAAGAGGCACAAACATTGGATAAAACAGTCCTGTGGCTTGGATTCAAAAGCGACATTTCACCATGTTTTCTGCAGTGGGTTGGCAGCATGCTCCAATGTGTGGGGGATGTGTGTGAGGCTGTGTATCAATGTAACGTGGGTAAGTAAGAATGTCTGTCAGATATCCTTGCTTGTGAAAGTATAAGGTTGTTCGCTTACAAGGTTTTGAGTTTTGTGAGCAAGGTGACTGTGTCTGGTATGCGTCCAAAAAAAAGGTTGTTGGCGAGAGACCTGAAGACATGGTGAAGGCATGGTGAAGGCATGGTGAAGGTATGGTGAAGGGCGTATATGCTTAGGGCACGAAATTCAACAAGTGGCAGGCTCAGGTGGACGAGGGAAGGAGAGAAAACGAGCGGGGAGAGGTGGATAGGAGAGTAGAGGAGAGAGGAGATGTCTATAGGAAAGGAGAGTGGAGGAGATTGGAGAAGAGGAGAGGAAAAGAGAGGAGAGCAGAGGAGTGGAGAGGAGACGAGACGTCACTAGACAAGAAGTGACAGCAGCAGGTGGTGAGAGAAATAGGGAGGGTACGAACACAAATGGTGGTAGTAAAGTGTAAACAGTATATGATATACTGAAAGAGTACCTTTTTGGCTAATGCATGCAGCGGTTGCGAGCCAGGAGTGTCTGCAGCCTTACACATGTGCCCATGTGTATATATATCTCATCTCAGACCCCTCGTGTGTTGTCGTACCACATACGCTTACGGCTTACTGTATTCACGCATAACATTCTTATCTTGCGCAAGAAAATGATCACTCACAAATTTCTGAAATTGGCAAGGTTGCCAATGGCAGTTGAAATCGATCCAGTAAGTTTGTTCCTGTCAAGCCACCTGCATAGGCACACGGATAGACATGGTGACAGCAAGCCATGGTGACAGCAAGCCATGGTGACAGCAAGCCCTGGTAAGAGCCGTGGATTATTCAACGAGTAGAATCTTTGGACGGATGGGGTTTCGCCTTACAGCTCCTGCAGACCCGTTACTGAGAAGAGGCTTGCTGGAATGGACCCAGTAAGGCCGTTAAGCCTCAGATCCCTGCCAGCCATGCCGAGAGCAGAATCATTGCACGATGAGAGACTGGTTGATAAGAAAAGCAGCAAATGCATCAGGCCTTGCTTTGCACGTGAACTGAGTCAGTCTCTGGCATATTAAAATAGACCTCAGAAGGTGGCTGGGAAGGGATAGAGGGAGTGGCGCACAGGAAGCAGCAATTGGAGGGTACACAGGGAGGGAGCAGGTGCTACAAGTGACAAACGGGGATTTGAGATAAGAGAAATGGACAAGGAGAAGGTAAGGAATGAGTGACCACGAGGGTAGAGTGGTCGACGAGTCAGGTGCGAGTGGGGAAGGGGACAAGAACCTGAATTGTAAGGCTGGTAGGTGGTTCAGGGGGGCTTACAGGTACACGAGATTGGTTAAGGAACTCAAGTCCACTGGGATGGAGCCTGACAGCTTGTTGAAGGCTAACTTCCTGTTAACAATAGGGGCAGAGGGAATATTTGTTACATGTGAGGTATATGAGAACAGAGTAGTTGTGATCATGCTGCATTACAAGTTTCCCTGGTGATGACCATACGGTTGTGAACCGTAAGGGTAGCTACTAGCTAGCACACAATTCAGAGTTTGATTATTAATTGAAACAGCAGAATTAGCAGCCGCTACAGAAGCGTGAGGAATGGATAGTGGAACTGGTGGTGGCAGCAGCAGCTGAAGAACTAGCAGTAGCTTCAGAAGCAGCACCAAATAACAGTGGTAGAACAGCAGCTGAAGCAGCAGAAGCAGCAGATGCAGCAGCATTAGAAACAGTACGAGTATAAGCAAGACCAAAAGCAACACCTAGAGTGGCCACAAAAGGGTCACGTGGCAGCAGCATGAAATGGATTGTAAGAATGGTGACGCATTCAGTAGGGATGGGAATGCCAGGGTGGAATGCTGTTGCTTACAGTCTCAACAGCTGCTTCAAGTTGGCAAGGGATGTAGGGATGGGCCCAGGAAACTGGTTGCGAGAGAGGTCTCTGGAGATTTATTGGGAAATGGGGGACGGTTGGATAGTTGGAACGTTGGAAAATTGGATTCTTGGACTATCATTTAGTGATTCAAGATGACAGAATCGTGTGGCTGAGCTAAAGCAACAGTGCAGAGATGTATGTTGATGGCTTGGATAGACTTTTGGGTAGCAGAATGGACAGCATTGAGTACAGGAACAAGCTGGACCAGGATGGCTCGCCTTTGAGCTGGATCATGCTTGCCTTGCCCATGAACGATCCGTGATGAATCAGCAATTGCCCATCCCCAGGCTTTTCGAAACCCCAAGCCATCCTCAGCACAAACACAGCTGCACTTGAACACCCGGCGAGCCGGTCAAGAATACTTTGCTCGCGAGCAGGCTAAGCAGAAACTCTGCTGATAATTTCATTGTTATTGTCGCATCGGGTAACACAGAAGAAACCCCAATCCGTTTTCAAGATAGTCTATCCAGAGGAAAACGCAAAAGTGGATCCTCAAAGACTGCTCTCACCTCTTTGAAGCCTCATGTACTATACTACTAGGCCTTACAGAATCTCCAGGTTTGTAAGAGAGCTGATATCTGAGGGGATCGAGTCATTCAGCTGATTGCCCCGTAGAGACCTGAAATTAAAATTGAACATGCATCAATAACACATTAAGTAATACACAGGCAGTGTGGAAAAAAGGAGGATACAAAATGGTTAGTGACTATTATGTTGCAAGGATAAAACAGGAATTCTAGGAGAATGAAGCAGCATAATTTACTGAATATTAGTTGCACATGGAATAAGGCACAGGGAAGAAGGGGTGGAGAGAAGGATCAAGCAGAAAAAAAAAAAAAAAAAAAAAGGAAGACAATGTAAAGCAACGAAGAGGAGACGTGGAAAATGATTAAAGCACATCCGATAGCTATAAAAGGGTCATACAGCTGTTTCAAATGTGTCAGTGAGAATATGCAAGTGGGGATTTCTCCAGTGACTTGAATGTAGTTGAGGTTCCTGCAATTTACGAACAGGAATGAGACAGAGACAATGTCAGCAGCAGGGACGTGCAGAGAGCAAAACTCCAATCTGCTGCTTGGTTGAACAACAGAAAATAAGGGATGCATCTCACAAGTATCTGCTTTTTTAAAAACGTCAAGATATATATTACTCACAAGTATTGCAGTTGAGAGAGTGCTGAAAAGCTAGATGGAATGCCGCCTGGTAGCTCGTTGGAAGAAAGATCACTGGTGGGAAGAAATATTAAAGGATCGAATGGGTGAGTTGATAGCAGTGATAGCAGCTGTAAACTGATATGGTGGTGGAGCTCACATGAAAGGGGAGTTGAGTTGCTGAAACATACTACAGAGAGGATTATTCGGGAAGCAGGGAGACATTGATTGGTGAGGTTGGACGAAGAAACAATGTGCATTACTTCCGTAAAAACGTCTTACAGGGTTGAAAGTCTTGTGAGGGTTCCAACAGCAGTAGGGATTGAGCCAGTGAGCTTATTGTAACCTAGAGACCTGTAGTGAGGGTGGTGAAGGGAATAAGAGTCTATTTAATCTGGACAAAGTAAAGCTCGCACAAGAAGGAAGAGCAGGTAACAAAAGCAGCTAGTCAGCCCGTATATTGAATTGAAGGCCTCATAGCTTGTACAGCTGAACGACCTGGAACATGATTTTAAAGTAAGCAGAGACAGCAAGCAAAGGGCTGGCTGGGGTAGAATCAGTGTACATTCACAAGTGTGACTTCAATGCAGGATGATTGCAGAGTCCAGTATTTATGCCACTCACCCACCATCCACCTGGTTTGAATCAGGATGCCATCTACTTATTCACTAGGTCTTTCTCTTCTCCAGAACTCTTGCTGCAAGGCTTCGCTGTGAAACCCACTCGGCGCTTCACACTGCGTCCGTTATGCCAGTATAGCATTGAAGAGCCCTCACAGGAACGTCAGAGTCGTTGCAGCTATAACATTAGGGATAGAGCCGCTAAGCTGGTTGTAATGGAGACTCCTGAAGAGACACGTGTTGGAAACACATTTGGGAGCACAAGTTGGAAACCGTTGCTAGAAATCCATACTGGAATGGAAACACATGGTGGAAACACATGTGGGGTGTAGTAATGTGTTTTCCCGATGTTGGATGCGCATGTTGGGATTGCATGCAGCAGACACATGGAGAGGGTGCACCAGAGTACCATCATGGGTGAGCAGAAATTTGCATATCTTCATGCAGACGGCACAGCATAGTTGTGGCTGAAATAGCATTTCAATCTTTACACACAGGCCATGACCATCGCCTGCATGCCTCAACAGTACTGAGGGGTATAATCATGTTCAACCTTCTTAAACAACTATTGGGTAATAAGAATCCAAGGAGAAGAGGCTCAAAGCAACGAAGGGGAAGCACTTACAGATCTTGTAGTCGTGGAAGTGAGAAAATTTCAGCAGGGATTGAGCCTGTGAGTTGATTGACGGCCAAATTTCTGCAAGACGGTAACGGAGTAGTGGTAAACAGTACAGGGAAGAGAAGACGAGGATAGAAATAGAAACAGGATTAAGGAGAGGGCATTGTTTTTGGACAGATACAGCTCAGTGCGAGGGTAAGAAAGAAATGGACAGTGCTCAAACTGAAAGGTATGGAAACGAAGATGGGACAAAGGGAGTTACGACAATAAATGACATGGCAGAGTAAACTGGACTATGTAGGCTGCAATGAAAAGAAGAGAGGGAGCAGGTAAGACCAACAAACACTTCACTTCGTTTTTTGGGATAAACTTATATATAACTTGAAATGCATGCACACACTAACATGGCTCGATCAGAGCGACTACACAATATAGTCACAGTGACGCACTGACGCTTAGCTCATCAACCTTGCCTAGGCATGAGCATAAATTCGGGCCCTGCCCGGCCCGTGTCGGGCCGGCCCGGAATTACCACGGGCCGGGCCTCGGATTTTGAAGGTGCGGCCCGATGCGGGCCGGGCCGGCCCGGCCCGCCGGGCCGGGGTAGCCCGACATTGGCCCGGCTGTTTTCGGGCCGGGCCGGGCCCGCCCGGGTCGAAGCGCGGCCCGGGTCGGGCTCTGAGGGCTAGGGTTAGACCCCCTCGACAAATTGTCGAGGAGGTCAAATCTGAGCTGCGACCAAATTTCGCAGCTCGTTTTCTGCAGCACGCACCCTTTGCCTCCACCGTTCCTTTACTCGACAGTTTCCGACCAGCACTTACCATATTTAATAGCTTAGGAACCTACAAGTTAAAACTAGCTCTAGTGGTTGACGCGATGAGCGCCTAAGGCAAATGCGAAATAGTCGCGCCATTCTGTAGTGGTGATTGAAACCCTTCAAATCGGCCGCGATTCACACTCCTTAGAAAGGCTTCATTTCGACTTTAGGGTTTCCAAGAAATTCGACCGTAGGAATAAGTAAATTATATTAGGGCTTCCAGAACATCTACGTTGAGGCTTCTTGTTAGTGTTCGTTAAAGCTTTTTCGTCAACCACCAATTCAACCCTAAGATCCAGAGCGCATTCAATATAAAATATTTTCAGCAACTCCCAAGTAGTAGTAACTTATGGCGCCTAAGAGAAATGTGCGGGCGGCCGCTTCGAAGCAAGCAACTGCCGATGCTCCACTGCTTTTCGCGGGACTAGGGAAGGGTCTTATCTTGCTGCCGCAGCAAGATGAAGGCTTCCAAGTTGAGGGACAGCTGCGGCAGGGGGTGCGACCGACTGGTGGAGGGGTAGGGGGTGGACGTGACGGAGAGGACCGCGATGATGGTTCCTCATCATCTAGTTCTTCAAGTAGTGACTCTTCCGGAGATGGAAGCGAGTCGGAGTACGAGGAGGAGAAGGGGGATGGCGCGGAGGAGGACGAGGAAATGCAGGATGTTGAGGAGGAGTCTCCGAGGGCGGGGAAGGGGGGAAAGCGTCGTCGTGCAGGGGGGGGGGGGAGGGCAAGAGTAAGAAGAAGAGTAGTGTCACGGGCGGGAAAGAGAAGGGGGACAAAGAAGCGGGAGGGGTGCGGGAGGGGCAAGTGAAAAAGAAGGGGAAGACTACGAAGGCCAGGGCGCCCACATGGGTTAAGTACACCGTCGTGAAGATGTTTGGCCCGGAGGATGAGAACAAGTCACGCAAGTGCAAATGCTGCGACACATGGATCTCATTCAAGCAGAGCAGCACACACTCCGGAATGCGACACTATATTGGGCAGCACAATGCGCACTACGCCATCTGGAAGCGTATGTATGAGGGTGGGCTCGTCCCGTCTGATGCTACATTCCCTGAGGGCGGTTACCGCGGGGTGCCTCACAGTGGCACACCCTGGCCTTATGCGGACGCGTACCCGAATGTCCCCCCTGAGGCTCTAGTGGGAGGGGCACTTGGTGTGGGGGGGGGGCAGGGTACGATGGAGCAGTTCATGGCGCCAAAGCTCGCGAAGAAGGAGCTGCGAGCCGCCATTGCGAAGTTCGTGGTGATGACCGACAGCTCGTTCCGCGTTGTCGACACTGACGCGGTAAGTATTGTCTAGTTCATTGTGCCCATGCTTGCCCTCATGTTACCACAATCTCTCCACAACCTTGCCAACACACTCCCACCAAAATCATCTTGTTCGCCTTTTGTATCACTCCATTACAATCGTTGTGCACATCCTATAGTTCAAAGAAATGCTCACTGTGGCCAACCCACTTTGCGGGAAGCCAAATGTCCTACCATCTCGCTGGACGGTTGCCCGTGACGTGACGAGGTACGCCGACATGGCACGGGCGTTGGCCAGGGCCGAGCTGGAGCTGGCCGTGGATGAGGTGTTGCCACTGTTCCGGGTGTGTTTCACCACTGACATCTGGTCGTCAGTGACGAAGCGCAGTTACATGGTCGTGACCGCGCACTGGATCTCGCCCGACTGGCAGCTGCGACAGGCCACCCTCGATTTCGAGGAGATGTCGGCGGGGCACACGGGGGCGGACATCGCGAAGCGGTTTGAGGAGGTGGTCACAGCATGGAACTTGGTGGGGCGTTGTCATGGCATCACCACCGACAACGCCTCGAACAACGATTCGGCCGTCAGGGAGCTGTCCGATGACGATGCCCGCTTTCCACTCATTGACAAGGACATGTGGTTCAGGTACGCCGTGTACGTGCTTGTGCAAGTGTTTGTACATGTTATGTTATGGCCATGGGCATGATATCAATGGCAGCATTTGCATGGGCGGCGTACCGGTCATGGTCATGTGCATGTGCAGGCCTGCATGCGACAGTGTATATTCTCAACCTTGCTGAGTGTGTGGCTCGTACGTTTCATCCAGGTGCATGGCGCATGTGCTGAACCTTGCTGTCCAGAAAGCGCTCGCTGTAGACACGGTCAAGGAGGCTTTGAAGCGCATCCGTGACACGGCCACATTCGTTGGCATGTCGCCTAAGCGCATGGCGCGCTTCAGGAAGGAGCTGAAAGAGAGCTATCCAGCATTGGCTGCCCTGAAGCTGGTGATCGATTGCGATACCCGCTGGGGGTCCACCTTTGCCATGGTGGCACGTGCTCTTCGTCTTCGTCGGCCCTTGACCTCGCACTTCGCGAACGAGCAGGTTAGTGTCCCACATGGACGTAGGGGTTCTGTCTTGCATCCTTCTCTCAACCATTACTTGCCTTCCCATCCTCAACCATACATGTGATGTGCTCGTTACATGCATGCTCCCACATTTCCACAACCGTCACCCAACCCCCAACCGCTCTCACCACCCACCCACCCCGACTTGCCGCTCTGAGATCCCTCACCCTTACTCCAGGGCACGACCAAGGAAGAGAAAGATAAGTACGCATCCTTGCGCATGACTGATGATCACTGGGCGGCCCTGGTGGCGTTGAAGGGGTTCCTCGCGCCCTTCAACGCCATCACCAAGGCAGCTGAAGGGAGTGCGTACCCGACTGTGACCACCATTGTGCCGTACTACAACCTTCTTCTCGACACACTTGAGAAGATTTTGAAGGATGCCACAAACCCCCCCTCAGCCCTCCTTCGTGAACTCGTCAATGCAGCATTGCCCGTACTGCAGAAGTACTATGACAAGAGTACAGACGAGCTTACCGTCGCCACCTTCCTTGACCCTGGCCTGAAGATGGCGTACTTCGCGATGCCAAGTGTGCCGGAGGTTGCGCAGGTGCCAACGGATCAGGTCATGCGCTTGGTGCGCGTGCGCTGGGAGTCGTACCACACCTCGCAGAGGTTGGCAGCAGCTGCTGTGGCACCACCTGTCCCTCCAGTGGTGGTGAGGGAGCCCACGGCTGCTGTCGATGGGGACGAGGAGGAGGATGAGGGCGGGAACCTCGCTAGCCGCTCTAGCTTGCTTGCACGTGTTGCGGCTAGCGTGGAGGGTGGGGGGGTGAGAGGTTCCGGGGGGGACGAGATCGATAGGTACATGCTGGAGGGGCTTGTGCAGAACGTCCCACCTCTTGAGTACTGGCGTGACAAGCGAGACATGCCCGTGCTCAAGGCCATGGCCCGCGACTATCTTGCCATACCCGCTTCGTCTGTTGCCAGTGAGCGTGTGTTTCACGTGGCAACGACACAGGTTGAGCGATGAGAGGATTCGCGACGCCATGACATTGCGTTCCTTTTTCGCAAGCCATCCCGGAGTTTCATTGGAGGATGCGTCCACAGGCACAGGGGCACCGCCTGCCATTGTGGATATTGGGGTGGAGGGTGAGGGCCCGGCGGATATGTAGGGTGGGACCGCGTGGTTATGGTACTTGTGTTGGATGCAGACCTTGCTACTTTGCTTTACGTAGGTGTTTCTCATTTGACTTAGACTTGCTGCTCGTATGACAGCATTTGGTGCTATAACATGGAACAATAGACAGGCGTTGTTACATTGGAAAGCCAACAGCACAGCATAGATTTGTCTAGGCCACCCCTGGTCTGGTGCGTGCGGCCATCATCACTTGATGTGCAGCCCCCCTTCCGCCTTCTCCTATGTCATGCGCCATGCCACCTGTAAGCACGCACGCCGTTCGATATAGGGCATGCCCACGCAAACCACCAACGGTGGGGGTTATTTGCAGGCCATGTACATGCGCTAGTGTAGTGTAATGATTGAGGACCCGGGCCGGGCCAGGCCCGGCCCGGGTCGGGCCCTGCTTAGCCCGGCCCGGGCCATTTTGGCCCGCATACCAAACACCCGGGCCCGGGCCATGGCTTCACCCAATTTGCCCGGGGCGGGCCGGGCCCGGCCCGGCCCGGATTTTTGCAGGGCCCGGGGTGGCCCGACCCGGGCATAGCCCGGCCCGGCCCGTGCTCATCCCTAACTTGCCCTTTCATTCGGATGTAACGCACAAGATTCGTAGTTTGGTGAGAGCAGTGAACCAGTGGGGATGATGCCCGAGAGCTGGTTGGATGAGAGGTCACTGGGATAGACAAATAGGCAAGGAATTGAGAGGGATTGTAGCTCAGGTTCATGGAATTGAATTAGGAACAGTGAGCATACTCATAAAGGAGGAGAAACGGCACTTGCAGCAGAGAAATAAATGACTATACCGGAGCAACGTTTCTTCTCAAAGTACCTAACACAAGAGTTGTGTACAACAGCCAGTATGTGGCGCGGCCCTTGCTCATTATTATTCCCACCTCGCGTCATGCAAGGGTTGTACTAAACCTCTTGTGAACCCATGCACAATCATGCTAGCTAGTAGAATGTGAGAAATGCAAGCGAAGATGATAAACTGACTGGAAACAGGAGGTACAGGGGTACTTGGAGAGGGTATCGTGGGAGGGTTCTTGCACCAAAGTAGAAGGAAAATGAGTGGGAATGTGGGAGGGAGTTAGGCATGCACAGTAACATTACGAGTCAACCCGGCAGTCACTTTGCAAGCACTTTAATGCACAGGTAGGTAGGCAAGTAACAGTGAAGGATCTTACAGCTCTCTGAGGTTTGTGAGGGCAGTAAACGCATCTGAAATCGAGCCAGTGAACTGGTTCCCACCAAGATATCTGAGGTCGTGAGAGACAGCGAGAAAATCAATGATGGTAGGAGACTCTGGGCCACACTGGTTGAGAAACAACACCTAATCAACACAGTTGTACGAGGAACAGAATATGGGCATTTCTCTATCAATGTAAGGTATGGGATGGATAGAAAGGGTTATACGAAAGGCCTTCTTTATCACACAAATGAAAGGAGATAAGGGAAACAAAGGAGGGGAAGAGAAATGAAACGCCTCATCCAAGTATACCGCAGATACATGGTATAAAAAAAAATCGATGGTGATAAAAGAACTACATAGAACAGATGGAATCAGAGGAGAGATTAGTCGTCAAAAGAGGGAATGAAATGAGGAGAATGAGGCAACACTGAAGAATGAAGATACATTGCATTGTCCCGAAACGCCTTAAATGGATAGAGAAGCTGATGAGCGGTTCACACAACTTTGAGATGAATGGAGGAAACTAAAAACCAATATCGAAAAGAGGGCAACAACTAACTGCAGAGTGATATATTTTTTTCCAACAGAAACATGAGAAATCATAACCATGAGACGAGAGAGGAGAGGAGGGAGGAGGGAGCGATGGTGAACTTGCATAACGTTGGAAAGTAGGAGATTTCATGCATACGCTAGAATAGTTAGTCAATGAAATGTGGGGATAAGACGAGAGACTAAAACAATACACAGCCTGACTTACAGATTTTCCAAAAAGGTGAACAGGCCGATACTTGCAGGAATTGTACCATTGAGGGCATTCTTCTTCAGAGACCTGCAATGAGCATGAGAAATGGAAACACGTGCACACTTCGACTCAGATTGCACAAAAAATGAGACTGGGTACGAGTGACCATAAAGGGCAACTAAGGTATGCAGACTTTCTATTTATGAATTTTGGATGCAAACGCTGTGCCTTCAAAATGTGTGCTGACAAACAACAGGGAGATAGACAGAGCTACCGAGACAAGTGGAAAGAGAATTTTCTTGCCTCATCCAACAAGGCTTGTTGTTGACATACAGACAATGAGACAGCAGGGAAGTGGGTGTGGATGTCAGACGAGACAATGGAGAAAGAAGTGGGAACAAGAAGAGTGACGAAGGAAGGAGGAACAAGGGAGTGAAAGGTGGGGTGAGGAGAAGAACAAGAACGATGACGAATTCAGGGATCAGTGAGAAATGAAAAGTGAAGGAGGGGATGTGGAGGGCCAGGATGAATAGAGGACAGAATGACAACAGAGGAAGAGGCCCGCAGGACAGAATGCAAGAATTGTCAAGGAAAGAAGCAAGAACGAGAGGAAGAGAACTAAGGATGTACGGAGTAAGGGATGAGGTAAAGTGAAAGTAGAAAGCAAGTATAAGTGAGGCAGTCAGGCATACAGGGTCGTCAAGACTATAAGGGATGAAAAGCCAGCAGGGATAGAGTCAGTGAACCGATTGTTGTCGAGACGCCTGTGTTGACAAAGGAATCCGCGATAGGATGGGATGGTAGAGTTAGAAAAATGGAGAAGTTGGTTTGGAAGGTGAAACGAAGTTGGAGAAAAGAATATGATTTGGTTGGTGTTGGTAGATGAGAACAGACGAGGCAGATGAAACGGATAACAAGTAAAACAACCATAAACTGTTTAAAGTCGGCGGCCCAAATTGCACAAGTTTTAAAAAGATGACGAGAGGGAGTTTTTGAGGTTTGGGTTTTGGCGAGTGTTTTTTATTTCGTCACATTCGTTTTTTTTCGCCAAACCCAAAAGGCCCCTCGACTTCTCCATAGTGGGTGTGTTGGACTTCGGAAGTCCCAAATTGCACCTGCGGTACCTTTCAAAGCTTGAACAGGGCACTTCGTCAAGTTTTAAAAACTTGACCCGCGCGGCCCGCAATTTGGGCCGCGGGCTTTAACATATTGCATGGTAAGGACTCATGGATGCAGCTATTACATGTAAAGCACGCATCTAGCACGCCGCAGTTGCATCTCGCACATTCTAAATGCGCCAACCATCACACACACATTGATCTTACACTCTGCCCGTCCAATCCTCACTCACAAATTTTCTAGAATGGTCAAATCACTGAAACTAGCAGGTATGGTGCCTGAGAATTGGTTGGACGAAAGATCTCTGAAACAGGATGAAACATGCAAAAGATAACACCGAGATCAAAGCTGCTGGGATAGCAACCAGGAATTCTGATAAATGGCTAGGAGTGTAGGAGTAGTGAAACCAGGAGAATTTTGGAATAGAACAGTGATTGAAGAGATGTGAACACAGAAAATAACACCGAAAAGAGGATGTGGTGGGGAAGACAATCCAAATGATGTGTGTGTGTGTGTGTGTGTGTGTGTGTGTGTGTGTGTGTGTGTGTGTGTGTGTGTGTGTGTGTGTGTGTGTGTGCGTGCGTGCGTGCGTGCGTGCGTGCGTGTGTGTGTGTGTGTGTGTGTGTGCGTGTGCGTGCGTGCGTGCGTGCGTGTGTGTGTGTGTGTGTGTGTGTGTGTGAATGCTCGTAGTCCGTTGCCACGAACACCAAAAGAAAAGGTAGCAAACGTCTTCACACGCCTGTTTGTTGGTCAGAATACCTCACACCTGTTTGAGGGCACAAGTCAATTAAACTTCCTTAGGTACAAACTGAAGTAAAATAATGCAGGGGACTGGTAGCAAAGCATTTGCTTGAAAATGTAGGGAGTTTTAGCGTCTAGCAGGAGAGACAGATGTCATGAAAATCAGGGCCACAGTAATTTAATCATATCAACTTACATGCTTGCAAGGTTTGTAAGAGTGCTGAAGGCTGCGGGGATTGAGCCTGCAAGCTGGTTACGTTTAAGACCCCTGAGATCATGAACACGAGTTGTGGATGGGGAAATGAATCAGTGTCCAATGACAAGTGCATGAGATAACATTGGGAGCAGAAAATGCAAGAGGATGATGTGTGAATGAAATGCACACATGTGTGTGCGGAGAAGAAACAATCACCGGGATAGGAGAAGTGAGAAGAAGTCATCCGTACATATATTCAGCAGAAGTCAGTGGGAGATAATCGATAGGGGGGATGCAGTGGGGGGGGGGGGGGGGGGGGGGGGGGGGGTGGAAGGGGGGAGGAGGGGGGGGATAATCGATAGCAAGACTTACAGGCCCCACAAGTTTGTAAAAGAAGTGGCCGGATCTGGGATTGAGCCATTGAGCTGACTGGCATCAAGGGACCTGTGATGGGAACACGAGGCAGACAGGAAAGAATTGAAATGAAGTGCGCATGCGGCAGAAACATAAGGAGAAATGGGGTTACGAGAAATTAGGAGACCTGGGAGAAGGAGAAGTGAGGGAAATTGGGGTAGGAGACTGTCTAAATGCTCCTATCCACAGCGAGTCACCTATGCATGTAACGGGGGAGCTCAAATGGGACCAACCAAGTACCAACAAATGGTAAAAGGAAGGAAACTAAAATGTGGAAGATCACAGAAAAGGGAGGTAATACAAGATGGGACTTTTTAGAAAACATAAGGAATATGTGCAAGGAATAAGATAAGTGGCAGATAGATCATCTGGAACCTTTGTATTTATCCTCACATGCTTGCGCATTCTAGTGTTGATGTATAATTCATGGTTGCACACCGAGATGATTGGAGGATTTACATTAAAAGCATACTCGGAAGTGTAAATAGCTCTTTGGGGATGGGTCCAGTCAGCTGATTGTAGCCAAGTTCGCTGAGAAAATGAACACAGATGGGTGTTGCAGGAACGGCATGGGATGATTTATCAGAGACACAAACTTTAAAGGGAGTTCAAGATCCGACCTTCACGAATTTTGGAGCAGATGGCTGTTCCAATTTCTATATGAGCAGCCTAGAGAAATGTTAAAAATTTGAACATAAAAATGTGGAAACGTAGAGAAAATGTTGAAATAATAAATACGCATTGGCATGAAATCGCAACCAAGAAGATCAACGCTGGGTCACTAAAGTACATGGTGTCTGGATTTTTTTTCCAGATTTGATGAAATAAAAAACAGAGATGAGAGTGGCAGAAAAGGGGGGTGAAGAGATGAGGTCACTGTAAAAAAAAAAGCAGAGATGAGGTCGTTATGTTGGTACCAGGAAGAACAGAGTAACATTGCCACTAATCTTGCCACTCGTTATAACACTCCTTCACTTACACATCTTTGTTTCTGCGTTTGATATTTTTGCAAACACGAACGTTCTGCTACTGCCATGAAGGCACTACATTAATGGTCAGGTTGGTGCAACTGCGAAGTGGAATCAAGATGATGGAAGATCTAGCACTCGGAGAAAGGGGGGAATGCTCATCAAAGGAGAGGTCTTACAGGCCCATCAGGTTCGTAAGGGAGCTCAGTGCTGCAGGGATTGTGCCAGTGAGCTTGTTATTTTGGATATATCTGTAACAACGATGTCCCAGCGTTCGATGGGAACAAGCAAAGCAAGGGCAAAGGGCCAAATTGAAACGAAGAGCTGGTAGGAGCAAGCAACCAGATACATCACTTGATGACACTCCTCCAACATTATTTCTGGAACGTGCACAGGCTAGGGCAGAAAACGGAGTAGGACTTGGATTACAACACAAGAAAGGAAGTATACAATGTAGAGAGGGGAAGGTAACAAGACAAAGGGGGAGACAACAACAGAACACCTTAAGACGGAAGAAAATGTGTTAACAAGGATGGGAGGACTAAAGAGTTCCAAATAGGAGGAGCAATGATACCGATCAGAAAATACATTCCCTGAATTCCTGGGTAGAACATGCAAGCGCTGCGATTTTAATTTCTTCGAAATTTCATTTCAATGGTGTTCTCCCTACAAGCAGGAAGTAAGAATGCCAGAAAAGATGAAAAAAAAAAAAAAAAAAAAAAAAAAAAAAAAAAAAAAAAAACACTATTAGAGGTGGCAGGAACGGCTTAAGGAAAGGAAGGTACTGCCACTTTGGCTTACAGGACTACCAGGCTCGAAAGAGAGCCAACTTCACTGGGAATAGAGCCTGTGATCTGGGTGTTGTATAAATGGCTGCAATGACAAGCACAGGTCATGCATGGAAGGGAACAGTTGCATACAGTGGCTGAGTGGCAATGAGAATGGCTTAAAAAAGATGGAGGAACGGAGGGGGAGAAGAGAAGAATGAAATGAACTAATGAAATTTGTTATTTGAAAGGAGGGACGGCGCGAGAAAGAACATAAACTTGGTGGAAGGTGGGAACTTAGAATGGTGGGTAGTAAAGGGTGAGGAAGGACAAAGAAAAGTGGTGAAGAGAAGCCAGTCGAAGTGAAATGAGGCAGAGATCAGTGTACAGGGAAGCTTTTACAGAGGGGTTTGGAAGGAAGAGCACAGGAGAAAGGAGGAGAAGAAGGACAGGGAAGGAGAAAGAAGAGGAGAGGAGAAGTTCTGGGCATACTCATGAATAGATAGAGGTTAGAAGAGGAGTAGGAAAGAGATCAAGTACAAAAGGAGTAGGATCAAGTGAATAAGTATGGAGAGAACTGGATAGGGAATTTGGAAGTAAAAGCCTGGAATAGTGGGCTATGAGTAGACAGAGGTAGAAACGCACCAGAAATGGAAAGAACATTTATAGAATGCCTTTATGAACTCCGTATTCGCATTGAAGACTCTAAGAGCACACAAGAACATCAAGATTCATACAGGAACATCAAACTTGTAAGACTGGTGAAGGTGGTTGGGATTGAACCGTTGAGTGGATTGTCACCGAGACCTCTGGTAAGAAAAACACAAACGAAGGGAAACAGAAGAGGGAGATGAAGTCACAAGGGCGGCGGAAAGGCAAATGGTCAGGAGCGGAGTGGAGGGCCGTCAGAAAAACTAAGCGGAAAAATGCAGGGAGAAAACGACCCCAATTAGGTTGTGGTATTACAGCCATGTCACCTTGACAAGGCTTCCAAGTTCTTCAGGTATTGAGCCTGTGAAACTATTGCCACCTAATTGCCTGTGTCAAAGCAACCACAAGAACCACAATGAGAAAAAGACAGGGAAGTTAGAGAAGATTAGATAGGAATCATATGCTTTTCTCTGCTGTCAAGTGCATTGGTCCCTCACTGGAATACTCAGTGGCGCGAGGCGGGATAAATGGGGGGACAGGAAAGACATGAGAGCATTAAGTGCGTATTAGGGACAACAATACAAGAGCACAAGGAACTTACAGAGTTTCAAGGCTTGTAAGGGCGCTCAGTGTAGAGGGAATAGAGCCGGTAAGCTGATTACTCCACACATTCCTATGTCAAAAAACCACATGCGCAAATCATACACAGTGCAAGAGACATGAACCACACCAGTAGAAGTGAAAGAAACACATTGGCAGCAGAAATTCCGAGAAAATAGTTACTCAGATCCAGATTAAACCCACCCTCCCCCTCCCCCCCAAAGTTCCCCCCCCCCCCCCCCCCCCCCCCCCCCAAATATATATATATATATATATATATATATATATATATATATATATATATATATATATATATATAATAAAAAGGAGATCCAGGAAATTTTGAAATAACATGGCTGTGCAGCAGCTCATTCTCTGTTGTTGCTGGCCAGACCAGAGTCCCGGAGCAAGATATCTTGCGGACGAGAACAAACACAAGGATACAACTTGGGAGTCCTTAGAAGAAGCCGGACGAAGATTAGTGGAGGGAGAAGAGCATGGAGAGAGGAGAGGAGAGGGCAGGAGGTGAGAAAGAGGAGATGCTTTGACAAGCGCACAAGCAGCCGCAGAAGAAGCAGCCACAGCACCAGCAGCAGCAGCAGCAGCAGGAGGAGGAGGATCAGCAAGAGTATCGGCAACATCTAGACTGCATGGCAATGGGTGCAGTCAGGTGGGGGATGGAACGGTGGCACTCTGGCACTGACAGTGTGAGAAGACCTGTCAAGCTGCCAAGGGCTGGAGGGATGGGCCCCAAGAACTGATTGCGGGACAGGTCCCTGGAGATTAATGAGGGGAATGGAAGATGGATGGATGAATGGAAAGATGGACAACCGGTGGGTTGACCTGTGAACAAGCCGTTCAGTTGATGGTGGCTAATTGGATTGATGAGTCTGCTTGATGGTGGTTATGGTGATGGTGGATTGACTGATGAGTTAATGAGCTGATCAGTAAATTGATCATGGGGTGAAAACGAATTTGACCGCGAGGGGGCTTTGCTGCAGGAGGAACGCAGGAACCAGAACCTTACCCAAAGATGAGCGTTCAGACCCAAGAATTCTGTGATTTCTCCTTTGTATATAACATTTCTCAAATGTGTGTGATCTGCATCACAGGGGCCTTGACACGATTCCCCGCTTCACTCCACCAAGTTTACTTGCTCCCTAAAACAGTCTCTCACCTTTGTTCTTTGTTCGTAATTCCGTCACCTGAGACCAAAGATAGTGCGGCTATCACAGAAAGCCACTAATTTCGCACGGTGAAACCACAGAAAGTGCGGCTCCTTACCCTTCCATTGCTCTTGAAGATATCTGACTGAAAGAAATCCCTTAGCAACAAGAGCAAGAAACACCAAGAGCTGGCCCGAGTGCTGCACAACAGCACATATCACTTACAAACTAGCGAGGGTCATGATTGATGCAAGTGCCGTGGGCAGTGAACCAGTGAGCTCAGTCTGAGTAAGGGATCTGCAAATATGAACACAAATCACGCATCCAGTAGATGAAGGTGGGAGTTGAAGATGAGGCTTAGAGAGATGCACTAGCAATGCATGTCAATTCTCATGTCAATTCTGAAGCGGCACAAGGCAAAAATAAAACAGGAGAGGGGAGGGAGGAGAAGGGTTGAGGTATTTAGGGGCACTGTGGACCTTGAATGCTGGTCACTGAGTTGTGGCTGGGTGAGTGGTGGGTGGGTGGGTGGGTGGGTGGGTGGGTGGGCGGGCGGGCGGGCGGACGGACGGACCGACGGATGGACGGAGGGAGGGACGGACGGACCGACGGATGGATGGATGGACGGACGGACGGACGGACAGACGGACGGACCGTCCGTCCGTCCGTCCGTCCGTCCGGAGCATAGCTCAGTGATCGCTGTAACATGCTTTGCTGTCGCTATTGGTATCTACTATCGTGTACCACCCCTTCCCATTCCACCATTCACTTCTGGTCTTAACAGGTCTGCAGGCCAAGTAAAATCTAGACAGGACTTCCTTTCTTGCCCAGTGTTACCGCAGTGCAATGCAAACAACGTACAGCTTTGTGAGCGTCTGGAGCTTGGTGATTGAACTGGGAATGGCCGTTCCTAGTGTGACACCATAGATGTTCCTGCATGCAACCAGGTCATGCCCAAATCATCATCGCCATGCCATGTACGCAGTGCAATGTAACCAACCGTCCGTGAGGCCCCGCCGTGCATACAACCAAACCAAGTCATGCACGTAAACATGTCAACACACACAGTTAAAGCCAGCAAACAAGAGCAAAGGGTGGTCAGGTGAGAGGCCCAGGCCTATCTGCTTCTACTAGCTTGTCGGAATGTTCTCGGGAACCACTGTACACTCTTCGGGTCCGTGGACAGATCTGGGACAATTTCGAGAGCCCCCAAAAATTCTTTGGGGAAGGCCAAAATGGGGGAACCGTTTTGGGACCTCAACTTTTTGGTGATGAATACGGTCAGAACCTTCCCAAGCTATTTATTATTATCATGATTACCTTGTCAATCTTCAAAAATTAGGGTTACCACTTTCTGACTCACATCTCCGTAATCATCCCGTTTTCGTCGCAGACAATGAAGTCAATCGTGATGCAGTCGGGACTGGAGTCACCCCAGCCGTTGAAATTTTGCCCCCATGCCGATTGGATATCTTGGAGGGCCAGAGCTGCAGGCAGTGCGGGGGCAGGGAAACCATGTACATACATGGATGTGACAGATGCGAAATCTAAAAAACAGCCGATCGTCCTCTTTACGATTCCATGATGGCAATTGCACGGCTACTGATACGAATAGCTTCAATTCGGAACGCGGCGGCCGCACCGATCAAAAGTTCTGCCGCCGGTTCTGGGCATGATCAGATGGCGCCTCACAACTGGCCTCGCCGACTCGGAGCGTCTCTCACCTTGCGTCCCGTCGAGGGTCTGGGCATCGACCATCGCGAAAGGCGGCGTGGCAACAAGAGCAGCAATCCACCATGCTAGCGCCACCGCGCATGATGATGGCTTCATGAATGATGGAGTCATCACACGTGGCAGTGCCACTTGTTGTAGAGGACTCAAACCACTGCCACCGCCAATACCTAGTACTTCTGTATATCAAGTCTGGCGTATTTGTGATGCCTGAACAGGCTAAACTAGATTCTACTACGAAAACGGCCAGAGGACGGTACTATCCATGTCACCCGGCGGGTCAGGTTTTGATGGGTGACGTCCACTATTGTTGGCTATGTGGTGGATGCCTCACTTTCTACTATACTAGACTCGCTTGTATGGGGGGAGCACGTCACAAACTTCTGAGAGTAAGGGAGTTGAGTGCTTGTCCGAAGCTAGTTACGCTGCAGGATTCAGAAGCAAGCTAGTTGGAAGGAGGGTTTGCATTGCAATGTTTGGAATGGAGGGGGCCTCAGTATCAGAATTCATGTCCTTCACCCTGTAGAGGGAGAGACCTCAGTGTAGATTGAGGGAGGCTGCAACTGACAACCAAGGGGATTTCCGAACAGAGTCCTGGTTCATAGTCCTAGTTGCATTGCACGGGGGACATGGAAAATGTTCTCTCTCTCAATATTTTTTTTTGCTAGTCGGACTCCGCCAGAACCCCGGGATGGGGCATGGTACAGTATTGAAAAGTGCTTGCTCATCTTGCCAGCTGCGTGAATGGGGGAGGTGGGGGGGGGGGGGAGGGGTTGGGCTGGAGTTGCTCTCTGGGGAAAGTCCTGAATCAAACCTCCTGTGTTTCGCCAAAATCAAGCCATTCGATCAGGTCGACGGGGGGGCCGTTTGCCTGAGTGTCGATGATGTCAACTGCAGAAAAATTGTTCTTGAAAAAACGACCCACCAACAGATTGTGGTAGTACGGAACATTACCCCA